TTTGAAACAGAGTCTTACTGTGTAGCACTGGCTGACCTGAACCTCACTGTGTAGACCAGGCAGGCCTTGAGTTACTAGAGATCCACCTCCTTCTGCTCCTATCCTAGGACTAAAGGAGTACAGCACCACACCTAGATTAAAATACTTTGTATAGGAAAAATTAGGCTCCCTTTTTGGATAAGGGAGAGCAGTCTTATTATCTTTTATATTTCTCTCACATGTCCTAACGTTTCTATTCCTTTTTTATTTTTAATTAAATATTATTTTTAATTAGCAAGCATTGGAGTTTGTTATGGCACTTTGAAACATAATTTTTTTCTGTTGCCCCTCCCTTTTTCCCTCCCTCCTTCCCTTTTTTCTCTCCCTCCCTGCCTTCCTCCCTCCCTCCTTTATTTTCCTCTCACTTCCCTGAACCATTTGATCCATTAGTCTGGTTTCATATCATATATATTCTATTACCTTTTTCCTCTCATGGTTCCTTTCTAGTTTCATGACATATAGCCCCCCCACCTATGTATACATTAAAAGCTAGGTTCTATATAGGAGAGAGAACACGCAGTATGTGTCTTTATGAACCCCAGGAAAAGAAGCCTGACCCCATTAACAGTGACTCATTCCACACACTTCCCAGACTCTAGCCTCCCCAGACATGTGTGTTGTGACCGTTTCACACAGATATCACTACGGTGGCTTAAGTAACAATGGCCCCCATAGGCTCATATTTGAATGCTTAGTTATCTGGGAGTGGGACTGTTTGAGAAGGAGGTGTGGCCTTACTGGAGTAGGTGTGGCTTTGTTGGGGGAAGTGTGTCATGGGGGTGGCCTTTGAGGTTTCAAAAGCCCATGCCAAGACACCCCCGCCCCCACCCCCCGTGTGTGTGTCTGCTGCCTATGGATCAAAATGTAGAACTTTCAGCAAGATCCAGCACCTCATCTTCCTTCATGCCTCTGTGCTCCCCATCATGATGATAATGTGCTGAGCCTCTGACACTATTAGCAAGCCCCCATCTGAATGTCTTCCTCTGGACAGTTGCTGTGGTCATGGAGTCTTCTCGCAGCAATAAAGCACCGACTGAGACTGTCTCTGTAACGTTCTGTCCGCTTTAGTTGGCGTCTTTGTTTCCGTAATGTCTCAAACGCCCCTCCAGGTAGTGGCAGCATCCTTCAGAACAACAGCCCTTTGTAGTGTTGGGGAACATACTGTATGTACCCTCCATCAACAGTGACTGCACATGCATGCATGTTTGTGCAGATGCATTTTCATTTCTCTGGATATTTGCTTGGAGTGGAATTGTTGGGTTATCTGATAACTTGCTGGTTAATTTTACATGTTTGTAGAGAAATTTTACATTATTCTCTATTATATTTATCTTCAGACAGTATATTTCATAGATGTTAATATATTTTTTCTCATTGGTTTTATAAAAACTTTTATTGAAGCCCCAAAAACATTTCATTCATTCATCCTGTTTCTTGTGGCAAGAACCCATTAATTTGCCCTCACGAATGGTCCAGACAGCATCCGAGGCTCCATTGTCCTTGTTTTTAAGTTTAGAAGTGATGACTTTGGGCTTCTGACCATCTGGAGTTGATGAGCTGGGTAGTGCAGTCTTGGCACAGGCTAGGAGCAGTAGTCAAGAGAGATTTCCAGAAGGGGCGGGTTGACAGTTGCCCTTTCTTGTCTTATAGAGGAGCTCCTCGCAAGACAATGGAGAGACCACGAAAGGGGAAGGTACTCATTAGTAAAATACCATTTTGCTCATTATAGCTTTAATGCTGCCGGGTTCACCTCGGGGGCAGCCTGGGAAACCTGCCTGTCTCCTGATCTTTCAGAGGCTTACAAGTTTCGGGTTTACCTTCCTCCTGTCACCCTCTTCAGTCACCTGCTTTTGAAAGAGAGCGGTGCACCAGGACTGCGCAGCGGGAAGGAGCGCTGTGGCTGACCACAGCGCCCTCCCAGTTTTCAGAAATAACTTTGAAGTCAATTTAAAAATGTCAGTGGCTTTAGCTTAGCAGTAGACAATGTAGGGAATGTGCCAACGCCCTGGGCCTCTTGCTTCTCACTGCAGACTCCGGGTGGTGAGACTTGATTCCAGGAAACTGGTGCGTAAGATTAGATGGAATCTTAGGAGGAAGCCCCAACTCCGGGGATGTAGGCTGTCCACGTCTTCCATTCTGGGCCAGGGAATATCAATGATGCTAAGGTGGGAGAAAGGTCACAGGTGTTACTTAGGCCACTGAGCTGTAATTCTAACAGGAGCTTTAACACTTCTGGGCTCCAGCCTGGTCTCTGCTAGATTGCCCATCGTTTTCTCTGCAGGTCCCATACTCCTCACCTCTATGGTAAGAACTGGAACTGTGTCGATATCACACATCGTTGTGAGACTTGAAGATAGGTGTGATTAGCATCATGCCTGGCATAATAGAAGTGCCTGTTGTGACCTCTGGAGAGTGGGCTAGGTGTGCAGATCCCTGCTGCCTTAGCCCTCCGGCTGGGCTCCAAGCTCATGTTTTTATATTTGGGACCCTGCATCTGAGGGTGGCTTGGAGTGGAGCACAGAAGCAAACACGTGACCTTCCTATAGCTAGTGAAGAAAGATGGGTGAATTCTTACTGAACTCTATACTCACAAAACCAAAGAACAATTAGGAAGAATGTCCGGCTGGAAATCAGATCTATTCTCAATATATTGTCAATATAATGGGAGTGAAATGTTTCATAATTAAGAAATAAAATCCATTTTATTTTCAAATTGATATTTGGGAAATAAGAATCATCCAGGTAATGTACCAGATGCCCTTGTGCTTACAGCTAATGTTAGACTAAGTAGCTGATGTGAGCGTAGACAGCTCAGGCTGGTGTCGTGTGTCACCGCCATCCAGGACACAATGGAATCCAGAGGCCAGAGATTACTTCTTGAGTTTTAAAGTCTCGGTCTTTATTACGTGTGATAGGAATGTTTGACACGAGCTCCAGCAGCGTTGAGTGTGCAGCGCTGAGTTGTTGGTGTAAGTGCCCTGGTGCATGGTGCAAGTGACAAATTATTACCCACCGAACAGCAGCTCCCCTGCCCGCCCCTCTAGCCCCTGGAAGCCATTCTCCCTCCCGTGAGTCTGACTACCCTGAGTACTTCATGTAAGGAGAACCGTGGGCTGGTTATTCTTCTCTGAGTGGCTTCTTTTATTTAACGTAAAGTCCTCACGGCCCATCCATGTTAACACACATTGCAGAATCTTTTGACTTTTGTGAGCCTGCGTACTGTTTCACTGTGAGTATCTAACATATTTCCTCTATTATTCGTTGATGGACACTTAGTATTTTCACCTCTGTGGTGAATTTGAGGAGTGCTAATACCCCTGAGATACGGAATATTTGAAGCATTTAAATTGATCTGCACTCTCTCCCAAATGACTCTAAGTACAATACTCCGTTTTCAGTGTGCAATACTGATTGGTTCAATTCCGCAGTTCTACCCAGTCTCAATAACAGTTCTTACCAACTCTCTTTTCAAAGAGTAAGAGCTTTCTTTTCGGTCCATCTCTCTGAGTTGCTATTGACTGTTTGATATACTTTTTTGTTGTTGTTTTAAGTAGAAGGGTTATTGTCTTTTTAACAAAAAGCATGAAAATGCTGTCAGATACACAAGCACACAGGGAATGAGTTATTGATTACCCGTTGCTCGTTTGACGTGCTAATAGTGAATGCCTTTCCAGTGCACTGGGAATGCCCCATCACTCTTCCTTGCCACCTCCATCTCCCTCAGGCAGCCCCGCCCACCTCCATCTCCCTCAGGCAGCCCCGCCCCAAGTCATTTCTTTCTTCTGGATCCTAATAGCATTGCTCTCACATCTCTTTGTAGTTACAAATTGAGCCTTTTTTTTTCCTTTTTCTTTTTCAAGACTGGGTTTCTCTGTCGCTTTTGGAGCCTGTCCTGGAACTAGCTCTTGTAGACCAGGCTGGCCTCGAACTCACAGAGATCCGCTTGCCTCTGCCTCCCGAGTGCTGGGATTAAAAGCGTGTGCCACCACCTCCCGGCACAAATTGAGTCTTGACATATAATTGCTTGTATTATTTCCCCTGATAAAATATGAATGGACACAAAGTGAAACGTCAGCTTGAGCTCTTGACAAAACACTGGGTGTCTTCTTTAACACGGGTACTGTGTTACGCCCATGCGCGACTCCGCCGGCCTCTCTCACATCCACTGTGCGCGTCCACCTCCTACTTTGTTCCCCACTCTTTCAGCTTATTTTGTCTTTTCCCTGGGATTTTTGAATACACTATGACACACAAAATATGGTATAACAGAGGCTTAATACTTAAAGCTGTAGCCTAATACATGAGAATGAGTTTCCCTGCTCCTGTGAAAACCGACAGCAGATTGTCACTAAACTCCAGGCACGTGCTGCCTTTCTGAGCTGTCGTATTGTTCTGTCACTGTTAACAAGGAATATCATAGGAAAAGTATTTCTGTCAGTGCGATAACAGTATTTATTAATCACGTGTTTTCTTAGCCCCGTGTGGACTTTGGGGATACCTGTGGTTTTCTGCAGCGTGCTGTCCCCAGGGACAGTGCCCTCATGCAGCTAGTTCTTGAAGAATTCTCTGAGATAAATAAAGCAGAGCAGCGACGTAGGGAGGGTGGCCTGAGAAGTCAGGTGACACACGGACTAACTTGGAGAGATGCGTGGGAGGAGTCAGCCTTTAGAGGCTTGGGCAGAGCCTGGGGCAAAGGGATAGCTAGCGTGCATGCGTGCGCGAGTGCGTGCGTGGTCCCTGAGGCATGTGTCAGTGGGCATATGTGAGAAACCAGGGCATGGCTGGCCATCCAGAGCCCAATTGTACACCACTGATAATTTATATATAACTCATAAACCTCCCTTAGAATTTATGTGATGGAGGAGTATTAAAATCTTTCTTAGCTTACTCACGTATGATCTTTTGAAATGATGTGTTATTACTATTTATAAACACTAATGGCCACTGATTTCTCACGAAAGGTTAAAAAGCTGAAGAGAGAACTCTCCCAGATGAAGCAAGAACTTCTCTACAAAGAGCAAGGCTTTGAGACACTGCAGCAGTGAGTATTAACATACTAACATCGACATTACAGCAATTCAAAGCTCCCTAATGAAAAACAGATCCACCAATTCCATAAGAGATTTCTCAGAGACACATAGAAAGTAAAAGGCTTAAAGTTCTGTGCCAAAAGCAATCAACTTAAAAAAAAAAAAACTTGAAAAAAATCCATATACTTTGAAAAGAGCTGAACTTAATCATTGAAGATGAGCCAAACAAACCAAAGTGAAAATGTTAACTTTGTGTCCTGGAGTCCTGGCCCACTGAGGCCTTCCCCCAGATTGTGGTCTGGGTCAGCCTTGACGGCTAGGCTGGAGGGCTGGGCCTGAGAGTCTGCGCTCCCCTGGGGTTCTGTCCACCTTTCTCTCAGTCCCAGAGATCATGGATTCTAGCCTAAAGGAGTCAGAGCGAGGCCGGCCCCGCAAAGGAACCCACTCTTCGTCCTTTGCCGCATTCCCTCTGGTTTTTGCATTCCAGTTCTAAACGAAGGTGGGCCACTGGGGTAGCGTTAAGATGGGCCGGGTTAAATAGAAATGCAGATACGAAAAGGTGGCCAGTTCTGGAAGAACCCATGCCGTTCCCAGCCTAAGAAAGCCCCTGCTCTCTCCTGATTGGGCTCATGCTAACCAAATCGTGCCAGGCTCACCCGAGACACTGTCTCCCGCAGTCCCTGGTCTGCAGAAGAAGCCTGTGGTTTCCATAACAGTATGACCACAGAAAGCACCAAGGTTGTCCTTTAACTGCTTGGGCAGGGCCAGGTGCCGTCAGCGGCAGGACAGCGTTCCTAGGGATCCTCCCGACTGGTGTGATGCTTGAATAGGTTTCACTGTTTCCTCAGCAGTGTGTTAGCAATGCCAGGCCAACACGGGAGCCACCTCTCTGGGAAGTACCCAGCTCCGTTCCTAGTCTGCCTTCTGTTCTTAGAAAATCTGGTGTCTTTCAAGGCATTATTCGCATTAAGTAAGGCTTGTGACTGTCACTGGCCTAACATGAGCTGATTGTTCTTCATGTTGAATGGTGACTTGTGCTTGTGACACCCACCCACCCACAACTCTTGACCAAGTCAGGCACATGACTGTAATCTCAGGCCTTTGTTGTTATGATTCGGCCTTCTTGCCTTGTAGAATCGGGGCACTGACGCCCTTGTAGGTCCATTCACCCTAGTGCTCCCCAAACCTGCTGCTAGAATAACTAGGAAGTCTGGAGACATCTGTGCCAGCCTCCAATGCCAGGTGTAGTTGGTGGTCGCTCGGTAAGTCTCCAGTTTAGGCTGGCTGCAGACTAGAATGACCTAGATGCACTACTTAGTAATCGTGTATCAACATAGAGTAGGGCTTTGCGGGCAAGAGAAGATCAAACAAAGAGTGCCACAAAATAGTTAGCCATATGGTAGACATTTTAAGATACATGAAATTATAAGTCAGGGTTAAAGGTTAGCCAAACTTGCTGGGTTGTGTTGTGTTGGTGTGACAATACTCTATTGTTTCAAAGCAGTTTGCCTGCAGACCCTTTCCGTAGGCATCCGAGGCATCTGTAAGACCGTCCGTAGCATTCCATGAGAAAACAATAGACATCTGTGTGGAAAGCCAGGCTTTGGGGCTTTCTCAGAATGAGCCAAGAACAGAAAGATACAGTATCTAAGGACAGAGACCTCTCCTGTTGCTCTCAGGTATAGACAAAGCAAAGCCTTATCCTCCAGCTGCTGCCCCTGTACCACTAACACACTGACCAGAGACCAGACTTTAAAACAAACCTCTGTGCTAATGCCATGGAAGAATTTGTTTGTTTATTTGTTGTATCTGCGACAGTTTTCTGTAGCATTTTACTTCTTCACCGCAGACAGGGATCCTTTCGATGAATCTTGAATTATAATGGGATTTATCCTTGATTTCATTTTACTTGGCATAACAGTTTTATGTTGGATTAATAAATATCTTTTATGTTTTTCGGTTTATGCCCACAAATTTGACGGCGGCCTAACAGTAGTATGGCTTGTGTCTAGCAGGACCCCCAGGAACACCCTGTGCTGCCTCCCCAGATGGGAAATGATAGCAGCACTTAGCAAATCAAAAGCAGCTGTGGTCCCCATGAAACCCTAGCTCCGAAGCAAGTCTTCCAGAGGAGGCACGCCAGTGAAAATCTCTTTCCAATATAGAGTAAATGTTTTAAAGTTTTTAAAAAAAATAGGGAAAAATTAAGATTCTTTTCATTCAAACACAGAGAAATAAAAGCATGAAACTTCATTTTAAAGGCAAAAGGTGGCTAAGCCTATGGATCTTTATAGCGAGAGCCACCAAAAAGGTTAATAAGCCATTAAGCTACTTCATATTTTTCTATTCAGGTCAAAAGAGGGAGAAAAGTGGGAAAGAGAACGTGGAGAAGGAGTGAGAGAGAGCGGGGAACGCGAAGTGGAAACGAACCTTAAAGTGGGGAGGTTTGAGGGAGGGTTCCAAGTATGGTAAGGTAGCTGAGAAATTGCCATGAAAAACAAAAATTAAACCAGTAGTCTTGCTGGACTCTGGGTTTTTATTTTTAAATGGCAAAGCGTGTTTCTGAACTAAGGGCATGTTTTACCATTACATACGGAGGGTTTCACATGTGGGAGGAAATCAGTCTTGCTCTGGAAAGTCACTTTGACTCAGTTTCTGCTTCATGTAAGCTTTTTATGAAATCCCAGTTTGTTTCCGGTTTTCGTTTGTTTGCTTTTAATTTATTAAGTGCCTTGCTTGAAACTGCCAAAACAACATTTGGAAACAGCTTTGCTTTTTGTTAGTGAGCCTTTACCTGTATTAAATTCTTTTTAATTCTTTGAGGACATAATTCTTTGAGGAGCCAAAGATTGCATTGATAAATCTCTTCCCAAATAAGTGAAATTAAGCAATATTTGCATGTTATTTTCATGAAATATTCTAGCTTAGTGGTCATAAGAACCCTCTGCCAGGGTCTGAACTTTAGGGTAGTTGCCCTGCTAGGTGTTCTATGTGGTTTAAGAGTTAAATTTGCATAAGCTTTCCAGCCCCCCACCCCTCGTTCTTCATTTGGAAAAAATGACAATGGGATCACCAAGGCCCGTGTGTGTGTGTGTGTGTGTGTGTGTGTGTGTGTGTGTGTGTGTGTTTAATTCTGTGACTCTGTTGCCTGTACTTCATTATCAAATGACCTTATAATCAAGCTTATTTTGCTAGGCTTTTAAAAGCTTAATTACTTGTTCAGTAGCATAAAATAGTCACTAAAATGGTACTTGGGGAGATGCATTATCTACAGAGTGCACTTGTTTGAGTTACCTTTGTTTGGCAGCATGATTGAGACGGTGTGTGTTTCACTAGATGCGCCTCTCACATTGGAGGTGCATATTAATTATTAAATGGCTTCAACCAGATGAGCGCAGGGTCCGTTTCTTCTGATTCAGTGTCTGCCATTTCTCTGGAGGGCCCCTGATAAGTAAGTCCCAAAGCAGGTCTGAGAAACTGTGTAGAGCTGCAGGCTGGTGGGGCAGAGGCATTATCTGTAAGTAAAACCCCAGGTGTATCCAGAAGGAGCCCTGGAGGAACCTGAACTGACGAGAACAGGATGCTGATCATGAGCAGAAGACCCAACAACTTCTTAAACAGAAGTAAGAGATTTGGTTGAGCCCCTTCCAAAACAGTGAGTCTCCAGGCCCTCTAGCCTACAGTAATAATGATGTAGTGCTTACTTAATCCACACTGGCGGAGGGGCACATCTGCTATCTATTTTGTTCCTAAATTCGAACTCATTCAGCAAGGCAAGAAGTTTCATCTCAATTCATAGCTTTAGTAGATATTTTTTAGATGTTTGACAGAAACAAGAAGCCACACAATCCGAATATCGCCAGAGACTCACGAGTACAAATAAGACCTGTCAGGCGCTTACTAAAGACTCACCATGCTACGCTGCTCTGCCAGGTGTTGCTCGGGCCTCATGACTATGAACTTCAGTGGCCACTGCTGCGTCTGCTGCTGCAGTGTTCTGGTCCCTGCCAGTTTTCTTTCTTGGCTGACAGATAAGGCTGAGTGTGGTAAAGACTGGCTCAGCCAGCATCAGGAGCAGCCAAGAATAATTGTGTACCTGAAAGTGGGTAGGAGGGGTAAGATACGATACAGTGAATGGAGGAGTCACACGTGAGGGGAAGGAAGCCGCACTCGGTCTGTGCGGTGTCCTGTGTGAGCAATGGGGCAAGGTTGTCTGCCGAGGAAGGGACCAAACCCAGCGGTTCCTCTGCACTTACCATTTTATAAAAAGATTCTTTTCCTTCACCACCTCCTTGCTTAACAGAATTGATGAAAAGATGTCAGGAGGCCAGAGTGGGTATGAACTTAGTGAAGCCAAAGCCATCCTGACGGAACTGAAGTCTATCAGAAAAGCTATCAGCTCAGGAGAGAAAGAAAAGCAAGATCTGATGCAGGTATGTCGTGGGGCGTCTGTGTCTGTCCACTCGGGCCCGGGACACTCTCCCTACTCCTACTGATTGTGCCCACCCTGGACTGTTACAGGCTCTGAGAAACACATGGGTTGGTTTCCACCTTGTGGTGTCCCTTGTGAAGGCAGGCCTCAGATGTCCTTCTAGACTGAGTAGAGTCGGGGGAGATGGAGCCTGGAATCCATAGAGAGGGCTTAGTATCTTGGCACACCCCTAAACCCATGGAAGCTTCACGTGGGATCTAGACTATCAGGGTTCTACCTATGAGTGACCCTCACCTAGGGCACACGGGAGTGCCTCACCATCATCAGTAGGTAATGGATATGTCTCTTGGGCTGGGGGACGTTGGCCCAGCCAGGAACAGCCACCGTTACCTCCAGGAAAGCTGCTAGTTGATCCCTTTGTTTCCAGCCTACAGATCTTAGCTCCCCAGATCCATCCTCATACAGGGAAACACAGAATGGCAACTGGTAATGAGCAGTCTGAATATCTGCGCCTGTCAGAGTCCTGTCCCTGTCTTGAGGACATCTCCCTTCTGTCTCTTTCCCTCTACCTCATAATTTAAAAAAAGAAGAAGAAATTAGGGGTTCATCACCATCTAGCCAGGCTTCAATCTGTGTCTCCGTCCAGTGCTAGAGCCAGCAATGATACTTGTGTCCTTAACCAAACCTCTCTATTTAAATGTGACATTCACGTGTTGGTTTCCAGATGTTAGTTGAATATGAAAAGTTTTCTTATTGCCATGTGATTTTTCATTTTTGGAATTTCAAAGTAACTTGCAAGAAGTGATCTGATGGAAAAGACTCTAGTGATAAAACAAATCCTTGGAAGTGTGGCTTGGTGCCAGGTTCTCTTCCGAGTGCCACGCTCTCGGGTAGTTCCTGTACTCCTTACTGATACTGAAGTAGCATGCTCTCTTTTTAGATGAGTTATTGCCTAGGCAACCTAATAAGTTTCTCTAGATCACGGAGCCAGGGAGTAGTAAGGCAGAGGCTTGAGCCCAGCCAGCCTTAAACACACATGTAACACATGCAGAGCTTACTCATACACACGTAACATATGCAGAACTTACGCAATGTAACACATGAAGAACATTACACACATCATGTTACATATGCAGAACATTACACCCATCAAATAACACATGCAGAACTTAGACACATTTTACTGTTGTCCCACAATTGTCCTGCTGATTAAATTGGTGGCTTCTGAAGACACACAGTGGCTCTGTCACTGGACCCTGGAGCACATCTACCCTGACGCCTGCAGTTGATCAGGTTAGGATCCCTTCTGCATCTTCCTCAGATCAGAGTGAATTCTTGCAGCTACTGAAGTCCGTGGAGTAACTAACTAGTAGTTCCTGAGATCAACAATAGAACTAGAAGGGAAATCAGACATTGGCTATGACTTTCAAACAGTAACAGAAATTTTACATAAAAATTCAATAACACAGTTATGTTCACCCAAAGATAAGCACACAGCCACCCGAACCAATTCCACAGCAATGTTCTTTCTCCCTCATGCTGGTCAGATGCTCTGCGTTTATTTCCCAATATCTTCTATTTCATTGAAAAATATTAGTCATAAGCTACCAAACTGATCAACTGTGATGTCATCATCACAGCTAAGAAAAAAGATTACTAATTTTCTCCATTTACAGAGAGAAATAGAAAAGACGCCCACGTTCACTGAAATGTTCTTTGTTCCTTTCTATAATGCGCAACATGATATGCCGTGTAAGTTTTATTACATGCACATATGTGTGTGCATAGTGATTGTTCCTGGGAAAGGTGGAAATTAAATGTTGGATATCTGCTATTTTCCTCTCTCCCTCCCTCCCCTTCCTTGTCTTGCTCTCTCCAACATGATGTCCTCCTATAGCCCAGGTTGAGCTAGACCCTCCCGTCCTCCTTGCCATGGCTAAGAGTACAGATGTGCACGTCAGATTTCCAGGCCTCTTCCAGCTGTTCTCTTACATGGAAATTCTAAACATTGGGTTAAATATGGCCCTCAAGTTAACAATAATAGGGTTTTGTGGTTTGTTCTTTACTTAGTGTTACTACAGGGTTTTTATTTTTTAAAAAGAAAAGCAAATTGAATTAGATTTTTCTTTCTAGCCGACTGACTTGCACATACCTGCCCTTTAAAATTAACCCCGTGTGTTAGATCAGGGCAGTCGTGAAAGGCACATTCCCTTCTGGTTACTCACCTGAACTACCGGGCAGTGCCGTGCGTTCAGCACATAGATGATCTCAAGTGAGTTCAACCGGCTCTCACTACTCCGAGCAGTGCCACGCAATCGACACATGGATGAACTCAAATGAGGTCAGGTCTGTCTTCTAACAACTCTCAGTCTCTGTTTTCTAATCTATAGTATTGTCTAGTTGGGGTTTTTATTGCTGTGAGGAGACACTATGACCACAGCAATTCTTTTAAAAGAAAAATATTTAATTGGGACTATCTTACATTTTCAGAGGTTTAGTCCATTATCATCATGGTTCAACGTGGTGGCATGCAGGCAGACATGGTGCTGGAGCTGAGAGTTCTACATCTTGATAGGCAGACAACAGGAAGTGGTCTGAGGCACTGGGTAGTACCTTGCACATATGACACCTCTAGGCCCACCTCCACAGTAACACTTACTCCAACAAGGCCACACCTACTCCAACAAGGCCACACCTCCTAATGGTGCGGCTCCTTTTGGGGGCTATTTTCTTTCAAACCACCACAAGTATCAGTGCAAACTGAATATTAGGTCTTGCCTAGGTATAAAGTTGTAAACTGTAGCCTTTTCCAAATAGGAGGATTTCTTGCTATACATCTAAAGTGAACGAATACATTGTAAGTAGTCCATGGTTCCATCATTTGTTATGTTGAATGAGCAGTTCTGTAGAGTCTGTTCTTTGTCACTATAGCAAAATACCTAAAGCCAGCAGCTTTATACAGACGAGAGGCTTGTTCAGCGTAGTGTCAGAGGCTGAAAGCCCAAATTCGTGTGGCCCCATTTCTCAGTCTGTAGTAAAGTCCTCATGTGGCTGGTGTCACAATGACAGGGTCGCACCTTAAAGAGATGCATGGCAAGACAGGAAGCCAGAGCAACTTGAAGGGACCAGACCTGCACTTTTTATAACAGTGTGCTCTCTTGGGAATGACCCAGGCTCTCTTCGGAACTCAATTACTGTTGTATGACCCCGCCTCTTACAGGCTCCCCCACTTCTGAGCATCATTACATTGAAATCTTCTAAACAGACTTTTAGGGAATACATACAAACCATATTCACACTATAGCAGCTCCCTACTGAAATAGAGTTGGCTTAATAACTTGTTTAAAAATAAGAATTGCACATACTGTGTTCAAGGGTAAAGACTGGAGAGATGGCTGAGTGTTTGAATTCTTGCTGCTTTTGAGAGGACCTGAGTTCCATTCCTAGCACCATATCAAGTCATTCCCAGCCGCCTGTAGCTCCAGCTCCAGATTAGACAACCTCTTCTGGCCTCTATGGGCACCTGCACACATGTGGCTCTCACCCACAGAGACATACACAAAATACATGTATAACAAATCAATACGAAGCTAGATTCTAATACCCACAGGAGAAGGGAGGCCGCCTGCTGAACATGCTCTCACTTCCGGAATCACACACCTGTGCAAAATACACAGAGGAGTCACGACTTTCATCAGCAGAGCCCTTCCCTTCAGTGGTACTATGGAAGGGGCCTGCCCTCCTGCGTGGTAGTCTTAGGAGGTGCTGTGTGCTTCTTGACAGAGTCTTGCTAAGCTACAGGAGCGCTTTCATGTGGACCAGAACATGGGCAGTTCGGAGCCAGACCTGAGATCTAGTCCTGTGAACTCCCACCTCTCTCTGTCCCGACAGACCCTTGATGCTGGGTCACAGACAAGCATTTCTGGAGATGTAAGTAGCCAGAGGGCATCAGCTGCCCCACTGCTGTCCTCCTCCAGGGAGGGGGGTTTGAGGGAGACAGGGGAGGGGGTGGGGAGGGACGCTAACCGGGGCTGAATAGTGGGTATTCAGTGTCTGGCCCTCCAGATTCAGCCTCATCTTTTCTGTCAAGTGCACACAGTCGGAACATTCCCCAGCTGCATTTCGTTACAGATGCTACTAAGAAGGTAGACATAGCACCCAGTTTAACCCCCCCACACACACACACACTCGGTTTACAGACCTGTGAACCAGAGTCACTTCTTAGGAACATTAAGGGGAATGGAAACCAAAGAGGTGCTTTCAAAGCTGACGCGAAGGGGCTGGAGAATGGCTCTGTCTCTGGGAGTGTCTCTTGATCTGCCAGAGCCTCCCTGCACCCACATCAGGTAGCTCTCAGCCTATGACTCCAGCTCCAGGGGATCTGACAGCCACATGTGGCTTCTCCAGACACTCACTCTCACCATAAACTTTCTCTCTCTCACAGACACATCCATGTGCATGAGTTTTTGTTTTTGAAAAAGAAATTGTTTTTATAAATTTGAAGTTGAGTATTTGTGAATTATAGCTTATGTTTGAAAATATTTCCTATGATCTCTATATCATTATGTCCCCTCTTCCCCAAGAAAAGCCGCCCACGAGTGTTTAGTTTTGTTAGGTTCCCGCTTGTATTTATGCCCCTTGGATGCCTGTGCTCTGAAAAGGAAACAGATCGTGCTGACAGTAGGTCTCACCTGATGGAAATTAATTCCTGAGGTTACTTCATTTACATTGCATGTAGTTATGTGTTAAATAATGGAAATTTTGGCAAAGAAATCCGTTCCATTTCGTAAATTTCATTGACCCACACACCCTTCATAAACTCGCAGACACCAGACACAATTACCTGGTGTTTTTGTCTTGGATTTAATCTGTGCGGAAAGCAGTGCGAAACTCTTTGCAGAACAGATGAGCTGGGTTGAGGGCGCCTTTCCCCTGCTGAGTAAGTGCAGTTTAACTGGAGCTTCCCCATCTCACAGCCATTTTCTCCAGCTTTTCAATTACTCGGGCTTCCTAGAAACAAAAGCAGTTTACTTCATTCATTAGCAGAGTTAATTGACTTTCTTCCTTCTGTTTTTACTAGATTGGGGTGCGGAGCCGATCAAATTTAGCTGAGAAGGTCAGGCTGAGTCTCCAGTATGAAGAAGCCAAAAGAAGGTGAGGGCCAGCTGCTGACTCACTGTGGTCAGTGGGCTCCAAGGTTGGTCTCTTTTTCAGAATTAATCTTCGCTGCGGTGGTGACCGGTGTGGCCCGCTCCCCGGACATTGTCACCAAGCCTGCCTTGGTGCTTTAACCTGTGAAGACCGCTTCCTGTCTTCCGGCTCTCTCTCCACCCCCTGCAAAGCTCAAAACTAAAGAGGATTTCAGTTTCTTTTTATTTGTTGGTTTTTTGAGGCAGCATTTCTCCATGTAACTCTAGCTGTCCTGGAACTCACTCTGTAGGCCAGGCTGGCTTCAAACTCAGAGATCTGCTTGCCTCTGCCTCCCAAGTGCTGGATTAAAGGTGTGTGCCACTACACCCAGCTTGAATAAGGAGAATTTGTGAGAAGTATGGGGATGAAGCTCTTGGGTTCTCATGTTTTTAATTCCTTGACTCTGCTGGGGTTCAGCACAAGAGACCGCAAGGTCCTAAAGTAGCAGGTAGATATTCTTATTCTTATTCTTACCTTATCACACCTCATTCTGACGGGGAAGGTCATTCTGCTACCATTGATTTCATTATTTGTCTTTAAGAGTTTAAACATGCCATTGATTGTCACCATTCAGGAGACTTTAGGAGAAACTGTGTAGTCACCTTACAAGAATCTAAGGAATGTATTTTGTTCTTCCTCAGACCAGGAGGCCTTCCCAGAGTGTTGAGGCTCCTACCATAAAGAGGACCCTCATGACCCTCAGACATTCTGACGTGTCCATTGTTACTAGAGACGATCAAATTTTAAAGTAATTGACCATAGGTCTTAGAGGTTATCTGGCTGTAACAAAGTGAAATGTATATTACTGTATTATAGTATTTGCCTCTGTGTTAGCCAGTCTTTCAAGTAATACTTGGGTCTTCAGTTTACTCAACAGAAACCCAAGCTTCAGTCCACAAATGATTAACCACATGACCTTGAACAAGTTCCTTGGTCATTCTGAGTGGCATTTAAGTCAGCTAATTTTAATGTCTCTAACTTCCCCCAGTGGATTTTAAATGTCTTGAGGGTAGGAAAGGCTTTTTAATTATATTATCTCCTTTCCAGGAACAAAACTGGGAGCTTGCCTTCAGTAGGTTTGGAGGCCCAGGGCTGTGACAGCTCTTCCAGGGTGGTGTGGTCAAGGGTCCTCTCGCTGTGAGCAGGCCAACCCTGTAACAGCCGGAACTCCTTGGTTCTGCCATGGACAAAGCCCAAGATTTATGTCCTGTTTTCTGAGGCCTCATGGCCATAACTCAGAATTAAGAGCCCTGGGACTTGCAGCATGTCTTCTTAAGGACGCACCTTGCTGTCTTTGGGTCCCCGTGAGCTTTCTCTCCGTGGTGATCAACTGTGACAGTCAGTGACCTCTAGAGCTTGTGTGACACTTCCCTGCCTAGGTCCTGGAAGTCCCCTCCACATTCTCCCCTTCAGATCTGTGCGCCCATTCCAAAATACAGTCCAATGTCTGCCTAGTCATGTGCCCTCACGTCGTAAGTAGATACCTTTCTTCCCTGTTCCTCGCTGTTACTCCCAGCTCAATTGGCTGCCTTGGGCACATCAAAACTTAGACCATTGTTTCTTGGCCATTTGGCTGTACTGTGTGTTATCTGGAGCTGGTTTTAGGGTTTCGGTGATGCTGACTCTCAAGGGAATTTGCATGCGTTGAAAATGTGTTTTCCTTCTCCGTTCTTAACACGGGAAGACGTGAGTTATTCTTCCCTGAACCTGTTTTCTCCTCCAGCTTTTGTTTTATGTGCTCAATGAAGCTAATAATATCATGCTTATTTAGCGATTTGATGATTAATTTTCCAGTACGTGGAGACAGTTGTTTATGGCTTTGTGTTTAAAGCTGAAGAATAGCTGATGTTACATCTGTCGTGAGTGCAGGCAGAGGTGGAAAGAGAAGAACACTTTATATGTGCCAATCTAAGATAACTTCTGCTTAGATAACCACAGTAAGAAACTTAAGGCACAGGGGTACAGACCTGCTTCATTCATATCTTTGTTTTGAGTTTTTCTCATAATAGTTTCTTCCTTTCCTTTATAGTTTCTTCCTTCAAAATAGGGGAAATCATTCCTTTTTCTATCTGTTTCTCTCATGTGGTGTGTGCTGACACAGCAGCCAAAGCTGTCATCCACGGTCTATGTAGGGATATGGGTCTCAGTTGTGTTTGTCTGGATCTTGCCCTGTGGCCGATGAGCCATCAGCTTCAGTCTGTGGGAAGTCGTGATGGTCTTCGCGGTGCCACAAGGAAGGCCATTTCATCCCGGAGACTTGGCCTTGGTGCTGAATTGGGAAGTATGCAGATCTGACCATCTCTCACTGAACTCTAGACATAGGGAGGTCCTGGGTCAGCCAAGACTGTGATGCCAGGGACTTTACAGCCGTGCTTTCCCCTTCACTCTGTGGTTGCCATGCTTGCCGCCTTTCCTTGCTGGTTAAGGTCCACCATGCCTGCCCCTGTGCAGCCTAATAACCAGATAGGAACATAGGTCAGAAGCAGTAACACCTGCGATGGTCCAATATTACTCAGTAATTAATGCTTACCATGCGAAGGCCCCACTGAGGGGAGATTTCCCAGTGTGAGGTTTGAGAAAAGTGGGGTGGGAGGAACTGAGGCCCATCATCCTTGGTGATACGAAACCTTAATGAGTTAATTTTTGCCTTAATATGGGTTGACCGAGGCTCCTCTCCTTTCTCATTTCTTCCTTTTGTGATCTGCTACTACCTCAGTTTCTAACCAGCTTTGGAAGTACCATTTGACTGGGGATGGAAGCTTTACCCTGAGGACTCTAACCTACAACCTGGCATTTTGGGGCACCCTGACATGTTTGTTTGTTTCTTGAAGCCTCTAGCTAGCCCTCCCATTTCCCCACACACATCAGGAATGCCTGCCTGTGGTACTCTACTTTAGATGCTCCGTTCACGTGACCTGGAGCATGCTACCATTGCTTGCTCTCCGGGAAGACGTAGATAACAGTTGCACCAGGTCGTAACCTGGGCTGGTTTCCCTTTTCCTGGGAGTCCTAAACACTTGCGTCTTCTATGTCTTTTAGCATGGCTAACTTGAAAATTGAACTGTCGAAGTTGGAGAGTGAGGCCTGGCCCGGGGCCCTGGATGTCGAGAAGGAGAAGCTGATGCTGATTAAGGAGAAAGAAGAGCTTTTGAAAGAGCTGCAGTTCATCACCCCGCAGAAGCGCACGCAGGACGAGCTGGACCGCCTGGAAGCGGAGCGCCAGCGACTGGAGGAGGAGCTGATGTCCGCACAGGGCTTGCCGAGCAGGGCTCTGGCCGAGAGGTGTGTGTGTGTGTGTGTTTCTGGGAACAGGGTGACTTGAACCTGTAGTTGTGTCTTATGGTAACGTTTCCCCAGGTTTGGAAATCTTAAGTATAACTTCTGCTGTTCATAGACTCAGAACCAGCACAAAACAATTTCATTTTTGCAGAGCAATAAAGCTCACCCTCCTGTGCCCTGGAGTATCAGTTCTTCTGTGTCTATTAGGAATGGGAAAGTGTTCGTGACAGATGTCGAATAACTAAGGAATGTTGACATAAAATCAGGAGCGCAGTACATCACTGAGCAAGCCTGATAACAATGGCTATAAACTGTTGCTCTCTGAGGAAGGCGCTCTAGACTTCAGAAAGCAGGGCAGCCTTCCTAGGCTCGTTTCCCATACTGACAAGAAGCCCTATGTTTATTGCTTTTAATTTCAAAAGGAAAGGAAGCGACAGCTTGCTCTCTTTAATCAGTCACAAGATGTTCCTTGCATGTGGCTTGTCAGTAGAGAACTGCTTCTGAAGCAGAGGCAACCATTCTGAGCAATATTCTGATTTGTCTGTGGGAAGGCGCGAGTTATTTATTCAAAAATACCCAGTGCCGCAAGCAGAGCGGCAGGACTGTTGAGCAGAGGACACGTGTGTCTCTCAGATGTGAGCACGCCGGCCAGAGCCCTGTGCCTGGACAGACCTAGACCTGTCTTGCTGGCTGCTGTAGCAGCACACTTGTTGGGCGGCAGTCTGTGGCCCTTCAGAACCAGTGCGCCTCCTAGACCAGCATAGGAGAAATGTCTGCCCCAGCGACCTGGAAATGAGTGCACACATCCACGCAGAACCCAGTTCCTTCTCCTTCCTCGGCCTTTCCCTCTTGCCTTCTAATCCCTGTTTCTCAATGACTGTCCAGAGTTTTAAACATTAAAATAGTTTAAACTATGGGAATGGTGGGGCCGTTCCTGATTAGGTCTTAGCATGTGCATGTTTTGAGTTTAGCCATTTGGGGAAGTCCTGTTGATGCTCCACGTGGCTGCAGCGCCCTCGTTTTAAGGAACATGAGCGGGTATCCCGAGGCAAATCACATTCAGCCGAGTTCTCGCTGTTGCCTTGTTTCCCCTTCTCATCCACCTTCCTCTGCTTTCTCTGCCTCGTGCTGAAAGAAGCGTTAGTTCTGGGTGTGAGGAAGGACCCAGGCAGCAAGAGTAAGGAGACGGGAAGGGTGAGTTACTCTGGTCTGCATTTGTATATTTTAAATTTCCAGCAAAGACCCACTAGTGAATGTAATGAGCGGGTAGCCTTCATGGCTCTTGTGTACAACAGCAGTGCATTTTACTTTGTACAGCACTCTCTAAATCCCGTGGGTTGTTCCCTTCATGTCCCAGGGGTTGGTTCTCTTCCTGATACCCAAGCCATAATTCCCCTTTACAAATTGTGTAGTGTTAACAGAAAACATACACATGTCCTCTCAGAAGCTTGGACCACTTTCTAGAGTACGTAGAATTCCTAATACAAAATAAATGTTATGGAAATAGTTGTAACGCTGTATAGCTTAGGGAACAACGACAAGGAAAAGACCCATATGCGGTCAGTACAAACTCAGTTTCTTGGTACTCACACACCAAAGAAAGCTTCCTGCTGTCATGCTTTAAGCTTTCCTGTTTTCCATCCTATGTGGGTTCCTCATTATTTTAGGGGTGAACTCAAACTGTAGTCCCCAAAGACACTAAACTCACATGAACTCACAGGCATCCTTTGTATCCTTCTGACCCCCGTTTATGCTGCCCCTGCATAGCACCACAGTGAGCCTCACAGCAGCGGCAGACATCGCCCTCTAGCGGTAATAAAGTCTATCTGCACTCGCCAGAGCCGGTCCTTGATCAGGATAGAGAGAAACTGCTCTCCAGCCTTGTACCAATTTATACCTTGGCTCACAGCACTGGCGCTCTGTAAACTGTGGTTTCCTTAGCTGACAGATCCCTGCTGCTTCAGACAAATTCCAAGGGCTCACCCCGAAATCATCAATGCACCTGGACTACTTAAATTATTTATTTATTTGTTTGTTTGTTTGTTTGTTTGTTTATTTATTTTGCTAAGGCATCTGAAGATTATTTGAAACAAATGGGCCAGGCACGTGAGTGTCATCTACTTTTATTTTTTAATGGAAAGGAGACTGCTTTACTCTATCGATGACATGAACACTTCCCAGGTGGAAAGTTGTGAGTTCGGGAGAGGCAGCGCCTCTCTCCCTTCCCTTCGAGAAAGAGCTGATGGCCTGACACATTGCCAAGGGCAACCTGAAGGGCAATGAAGAGAAACAGGACGGATACGGGGCGGGGAGGGGTACCCTTTACGAGCCCCATTCTCTCTGAGGAAACTAGACAGGCAGGACTGGGAAGGAGCTTAGAGAGCCAAGCTCAGGAAGAGGGCCATATTCATAATTCCCTGGGTGTGCGAGACCTTGTCACCTAGAGTCTGAGGAAGACTTCCAAGCTGCCCTCAACTGTCAGGTTTGATGAGTGCATTAAGGGCAGTAGTTGCCACCCCGCTCCAAGATCTCCCTGGCTTTTCACAGTTCCTTTATCACCCTTCTGGTGGCACCAGCAAGAAGTCTGTATAGAGGAGAGAAGAAGAGCCAGTGCCTGCCTTCTCGGACCTTAGCGTCACCTGGGGAGGGAACGTGTGAACAAGAACACTCAAGTGGAGGCTTTGGGGACGGCTCAGGCAGCAAAGTGTCTGCTTTGTATGCACAAGGGCCTGACTTTGCGTCCATAGATCTGAATTTAAAAACTAAAAAAGCTAAGCATGGCTACAAGTGTGTATTCCTAGTGAAGGGTAGATCCCAGGGACTAGCTGAATAGGCAGTCTAGCCAGTCCATAGGGCCAGGTTCAGTGAATCCAACAACTCTAAAGATAAGATAGGGGCTGGAGAGATCACTCAGCGGTTAAGACCACTTGCTGTTCTTGTAGGACATAGTTTCAGTTCCTAACACCCATATGGTGGCTCACAACTGGCTGTAACTCCAGTCCCAAGGGATCTGACACCTTCTTCTGACCTCCATAGGCAATGCATGCCTGTGGTGCACAGACACAGACAGACAGACAGACAGACAGACAGACACACAGGCAAAACAGCCACACACGTAAAATAAAAGGAAAAATAAGACATCAACCTCTGGTGTACATGCACGCGAGCGCGCGCACACACACACACACACAAGAATACACATGAGCACAAAGGCCAAGCACCAGCAGTTGAGAGCCAGCCTGCAGGAGCTGGCCCAGCAGCCCGTGAGTGTCATTATGACCTTGAGAACAAAGGACACTATCCTCCGTGACGTGTCCCTTAGGACATGAGGAAATGCCTCTGTATTAATAAAAGTGAAATTTGATTTTAAAATGTTACTTGTTTCTGAAGTATTTCTCCTGTTGCCAGAGACACGTTTTGGCAGTGTTTGGGGCTGTCTCCAGACCTTTGTGCCTTCCAATTCAGTTCACCTCTGCATTAATATTTCTTCCTGATTGAGTTGATTTGTTTGGGAGATTTTTAAAAATAGGCTGCGCTTCTTAAAAATGGAAGTTATGAAAGTTATGAAAGAATTAACCATGCCAGGATTCCAGAAATTGACAAGAATTACTTTTTAATTGTAACATACAATGGAAATTGTGTTGTTGACACATCAAAGGGATAGGTACCTATAAATACAATGTGCCCATCTCCTCACCACCCAAAACATGCATAAAATTTCAAAGGGTTGGAAACTGGGGAGATTTCCTTTTCCTCTAAAGCCATGTGTCTTATTGTATATATCGCCACTTTGCAGGGCTGTGTACAAATGGGGCTGTTCTATGGCCTGTCAAGCCCTTTCCCAGGCCTTACTCTGTCTGATCCTTATAACCGCCTTATCGGGTAGACACAGAAGGATCGTAAGCATCATTCACAGCCGAGAAAGGTGAGCCCCGCTAGCCAGTGGCTTTGCCAAAGGATCCCGGGCTCCCAAACAGCAAATCCCAGACTGGGCACCGAGCTCTGCCTTCCCCGGATGACGTGTCAGGGCCCCGGTTGATGGGATTTGTGCAGGCACTAAGCTTTTCCTTGGATGTGTGACCTATTTTGAACTGAATTTGTTTCGAGATAAAATTCACCAGTACTCTAGCTGTATGACAGTCTGCTCCAGGTGAGGCAGGACAGAGCTAGGGAGGCGGCTCTCTTGGACTTCTTGGTGAGATTGTAACTTGGCAGGTTAGCCATAACCGCCTCTTGGATCCATCTCTCTCACTGTTAAACCTCCCGGGAAATTAGCGTTGGAGTCTTTGTAGTTGAGTGCGATTTTACAACAATGCCTGCTAATTCAGTACTTCCGGCCTTTTACACTTCGCTACCTAATGGTATCCAAATGTTTAGGTTTTTGCTGCGGTCAACGTTGTCATTGTTTTTCCCGTGTCTGGGGCCAAATCATTTACCAACTTGAGAAAAGTTTACACTGCCAGCATTTAAAAGTTTTCCTGGCTTTGGGACTGGATATTTCTCTCCAGCTTCATTTACCGTGGCTGTGGAGCTTCGCCCCTGCTGTGGGTGTCCTCTTTGTCAGTTCGTCCTGATGTCCCTCTTACACCTGATTCTGGGATACTGAGTTTTTCTGTTGTTTAGTTTGGGTTTCTAAGTTATCATTTGAAAATTAATTTCTTTGGTTTTTTTTTTTTTTCTAGATTGAAATTAGAAGAGAAACGAAAGGAGCTGCTTGGGAAGCTTGAGGAGACTACTAAGTTAACTACTTCCTTGTACTCGCAGCTCAAAAGGTGAGCGTGCGGGCCCTTGAAGGGAGCGTCTTTCCCAACACCCAGGCAGGCCCTGGTTCCTCTTTGGTTGGTTTTTGCTGCTTAAAAGTAAACAAATAAGTTATGACTGCTCCATCAATGTTTAAATCACCAAATTTAGAAACAGGTCCCCCACCCCCATAAACTCCATATTTAAGTTTGGAATGCATTTAGAAATCTCGTACAGAAGTGGGGCTCGCTTTTCTGTCAGCGAGAATATAGGAAAATAGTGTATTTCTGCCATTACCCCACCTTCATTCACCAAGGGAGACATAAGAAATTTACTGTGAAATTGCTGCCCCTGACTTTCTTACACCGATTGGAATATTCACTCTTGCATGAGGGGGCTCGTGGGTCCGCCGCCCTGTCTTCCTAGCCACTGCGGTGACTCTGACACTTGCTGTCAGCCTTTTCCAGTCTTGTTGAGGTGTGAGGTTGCGAGGATGGCTCTGCAAGTTGACTCACAAGCATGCGTTTGATTTGATTTAAAATTTTAAGGTGTTTCACTGTGGTTGGATTCAATGATCTCACCATGTCGCCCTAGCGGTCCTGGAACTCACTCGTAGACCAGACTGGACTTGAACTCACAGAGATCCACTTTACCTTCCTTTATCATTGTCAAATTACGGTTATTTACTTTCTCATTTATTTATTTATTTTGGAGACAGGGTCTCTCTGTGTAGCCCTGGCTGTTTAGAAACTGTCTATGTAGACCAGGCTGGCCTTGAACTCACAGAGACCTTCCTTCCTGCCTCTGCCTCTAAAGTACTGGGATTGAAGGTGTGCACCACCACCACTCCTGGCCAGATGCTGTGTATTGTTTAAAAAGACCAGAATTACTGATGTGTATGAGAGCAAGGTTGCTAATACTCATGAGTGAGTAGGGAAGTCATGGTTCAAACAGCGAGCTCCTCTGCCCAGGTTGTAGATACAACGCCCAGGCTCGCCGTCCCCGTTCTCTTCCCGTCTGAAGGAGTGGAGTGCTGATTTTACAGTGTGCTGTTCTTCCCCAGCCTCTCCTCCAGCACACTGTCTGTGTCGTCCGGCAGCAGCCTGGGGTCCCTGACATCCAGCCGCGGCTCTCTGAATACCTCCAGCAGGGGGTCTCTCAACTCCCTCAGTTCCAGTGAGCTCTACTACAGCAGCCAGGGCGATCAGATGGACACCGACTACCAGTATAAACTGGACTTCCTTCTTCAAGAGAAGGGTGGCTACATTCCTTCTGGGCCCATCACCACCATCCACGAAAATGAGGTGGTCAAGTCTCCCAGCCAGGCTGGCCAGAGTGGACTGTGTGCCGTGGCCGCGGCAGCCCCCAGCCACACCCCCCCACTGACTGAGGCCTCCAAGTCGGTGACGTCCCTCTCCTCCAGGTCCTCTCTGTCGTCCTTGTCCCCTCCCGGCTCCCCTCTGGTCTCGGATAGCACATTTCCCGTGTCCCCTCACGACCCCTCCCTGCACCAGTTCTCCGTTGACTTCGAGGACTGTGGCCTGAGCAGCCACTTTGCTGACATTGGCCTTGGTGAAAATCAGGTCTTGCTGGATTCAGACTCAGGAGCGTCCCAGTCTATCTTAGAGGATAAAGACCTTGACGAATGTGCGGGGGAGCTGCTCTATGAAGGAGCGACAGGTAGGTGTAGAGCTTTGCTTTCCCACGTCCCCTGCTCCATTTCAGGCAGGACTGGGTCACTCATCCCATATAAAGAAAGGGTATGGCTTCCTTCTCATTCTCCAGGGTGTTCATTTAAAGAGCATTTATTCCATACCTAGACTTTTTTTTTTCTCTGTCAAATAAAAATTGCCATTCTAGAGGGGGTACATATTTATAGCTCAGTGGTAGACAGCTTGCCTAGGGTGTACAAGACTCTGGGTTCAATACCCCAGTACCACAAAATAAAACCAGGGACTGAAGAGATGGTGAAATCTGTCAGGTGCTTCCTGAGCTAGTATGAAGGTCAGAAAAGCCACTATGAGCACACTCACACCTGTGATCCCAGGGCTCGGGAGGCAGAGGTGGGCGGAGTCCCGGGGCTTCCTGCCAGACAACAGAACCTGCTTTGCTGAGCTCTAGGCTCGGTGAGAGACTCTGCCCTCAAAAGTAAGGCGAAGAGTTGCTGAGGAAGACACTGGTGTCAGCCGCTGGCCCAGACACACATTCACACCTTATAAACTCCTGTGTACACAAACATATACCTGCACATACGCAAAACATATCGCCCTCCTGTTGAATAGACTCGACCATGGTGCCTGTTCTGTAGTCCGGGCCCTCTGTGGGCGGTAGATGCCTAGGATGTGTTTCATGAGCCGTACACACTTCCACCTGGACTCTGGTTCAGAAATAGCAAAGAAATAAGGACTTTCTTTTTACAATTGTCCAAAGCAGATGAAAACAAAGTCAGCACGCCGGCTAATTAGCACAAAGATTTAGTGTTTAGCTTGCTTGGGGAGTTCTATATAAACAGTTTTTGGTTTGTGCCAAACTCCCCTTCTGCCCCGTTACTTGGTGGCAATAGTCCAGTGTCCAGAGCTGCTCTGCCATCTGCTGGCTGCTCTCCCAGCTGCAGGTCCAGGAAGATGGACCGAGTGGCCCATGGAATGAGTACATGTTCATTAATGTTGCTCTCCTGCTCACTGGGGAAGCTTCCAGTGTGTGCCATGGGTTGTAAAGAGCAGAAGGTACCATTGCTGTGTAGTGCTGTCCTGTGTTCTGAGGATAGCCCATTCTATAGCTAGCATGACGCTAGGTGCAAAGCAAACTCTCAGCTTGCGCCGGGAAGTCCTGTTCAGTCAGCATGTGTCAGCGTGTCCCACCGTGCAGAAAGGACAGCCCGTGCAGAACCCTGTCCTTGCTGTTTTAAGGAGTGGTTTCTATTGGTATGCACATGTGTAGGAATTCTAAGTATTAATCAACTGGCCAATTGAGGTGCAAGTTGATTTAGGGGCTTCTGATACCGAAAGTTCTGTGTTCTTGTTTGTGGCTGAGGCAGAACTGGAGTGGATGAGACCTTCCTACAGTTTGTATGCCCTCTTTCAGGGATGTACCAATGAATTATAGGTCATTCTGTTAAAATAGTGCCCTACACACACACAAATGGCACATGGGAGATGTGTCCATAATGGTTCCCGCACCGGAGAGCCGCTGTGGGACCTCACAGTGCCCGTGGGAAGCAGTACAGTGGAGCGGCCGTGCCTGCATCCTTCCCTCCTGCCTCTTTGGTTGTTTTAGCTGAGCATCCATCCTCTCTGTTATTCAGACCCGTTCCTCGTCTGTACGGTCACCCTCATAGAATGCGAGACCATGCCTGGCATCCAAGCCTGCCTGGCACACGTGCAGTTTGTGGTAACTGTTGCCCTGTATGGTGGCACTGGTGTGCCCCTCTCTCCACACTACGCTGCGGGTTGGGGGTGGGAGAAGGCCGCATACATTGTGGTTGCATCGTTCGTATGTGCTTTTGTGCCCTTCAGGGCATGACACTTTTTGAGCATCTATAATTGACTCTGCCTTTTATGTATTTGGAATATTCTCTAGCGAGTATTTCTCAACATCCCATCAAATGGTGAGCCCGGTACATAAAGGCAGATGCTCAAAAGGCAGGAGGGTCCCAAAACCTTCAGCACTAGGGCCATCACGATGCTCCTGAGCCACCACCCCCCACCACGCACACACACCCTCCAGGTACACAGGCATAGTGGCTCAACGGCTGCCCAGTTCCTAATACTTTTCTAGCACCTTTGTTGATGACTTTGTGGCTGGAGAGAGGTGCCTGAAGGAAATTCCCACGAAACCATTTTTTAACCTTTTAAGTGTTACACTGCGCTGCTGTTAAACGCGCCCTAGACCTGGCTGTGGCCCAGTGGCAGAGGGCTTGCCTAAGACCTCTGAAGCCTTGGGTTCTGTCTCCAGTACCTCAAGACAGTCACTTGGAAAAAATGCACACAAGGGCTTTGTTTGCAGTTAGCTTTCAGTTTCCTGTCTGAAGACAGCAGAAGGCATCTTAACCGGCCAGACTAACTGCTCAGGCCACACCCACGACTTCCGACCTCTTAAAGGGAGGGGGCGCTCTTGGAAGGGCACCGTTCCTGTTCACAGGTGAAGCCAACTCCGTTCTATAGACAGTTTGCTCTGCCCGGCGTCAGTCCCTGCCAGATGACAGAGACCAAGGTGGAATAACCATGAAGTCTTCCCACAGTCTCTGTCATTGTCAAAGTCAGCTTTCAGACTGCTGCGGTTATTCCTGGGGGTAATCAATAAATCATGTCATCACCTTCACCCCTCGCGAAGCGGGGGATGGGCAAAGAGAAGGCCCTTCATCATCAAGGAAACAGCATTCCCACTGCCAGAAATGAAAGAGAAAATGCAGCAATCAATCCTGTAATCTGACGCCTTAAAACTTAAACATCTTAACTGGATGTAGAGTCACGGCTCAGAGGGGGGCCCAAATGCATACCAATACTGCTCCTCGGGCTCACTCGCGGGAGGATGAAAGAGACTCGGGCTCGCAGCTTACCGCAGTACAGAGGGCTGCTTTAAGTGACTGCACCTCGCTCCCTGCAGGATGCTGGGGAGGAAGATGAGTTAGAGATAAAAGTACCCTGGCAGCTGCTGCTAAAGATTCAGTAACACGCAAAAAAGTTTTTCCGTTTCTGTTGTTGCTGTTGTTTTAGTGGTATTAGCTGGTGAGAATTCATATAAATCAAAGATGTTTTCTCTTTCATTTCTGTTAGGAGAGTAGTAGAGGGAACCGGGGAGCAAACTGCACTCAAGTAGAAAGAGCGGCCGTGTTTGATGGGGGCACATTGTCGCTTAGCCAGAGCTTGTAGGGGCTCATGAATGCTTGAGACAAGAAGCCAGGGATAATGGGAAATTGTGTATCCCTCACCTAAAATATTTTACAGCAAGAAGCTGTGAGATGGGCCAGTGGATTGCATCCGAGGCTGACAGCCTGAATTCCATCTCACGCGATGGAAGGAGAGAGCTGTCTCCTGCAAGCTGTTCTCTGACCTGCACACATTCATCACACACACACCATAAACATGTGTATTTTTTATTTTTAATGGGGAGGCACGGTAGAACACTTGATGCTCTTGCAGAGAACTGGAGTTCAGTTCCCAGGTGGCTCACAACTCCAGACCTGGGGATCCAACGCCATCTTCTGGATTCCATGAGTACTGCATGCACATGGTGCCTTTACAGGAATGTAGGCAAAACATTCTTAATTTTTTTCTTTTTTTTTTTTGGCAGAAGCAGAAACAATTTTCCCAAGTAACCAAATCCCAGACCGTGTGAATCCCAGCATCCGGTCTCACCCCATCTAGTAATATGGGGAACAGCATTCTCCACTTTAAGAAGAAAATTGGACTTTGGGCTTCTGTGGTGCATTTTATGCTTTTCCCCATAAGAAACTAATGGTGTTGTCGCTTTCTCCACCTTAGATGTGGAAAAGTCATTGCCCAAGAGAGGAGGACTCCATCTGCGGGGAGACAAAACTGCGCGTGTATCAGCCGCTGCCTCTGACGAGTCCGTGGCTGGAGACAGTGGCGTCTACGAAGCCTCCATGAAACAGTAAGGCCCTTGCATGCCTGCCAGCCAGGCTTGTGCATGCTGTAAGGTGTGGTCCCTACAAGAAACATCCTGCCAGCTGTGGAAATGACAAGCAGATTGCTGTACTCAGAGGCGGCTGACCTGAGGTTTCAGACACTGCTTTTTCTGGGAATCTTGGTGATTGGCCAGTGCTTGTTTGACACATGGAATGCCTGTTTAGACACATGTCTGGAAGTCCCGAGATAGTGGGATAGCCTCGCGGGACTCAGGAAAGCCAGGCATCACGAAATTCGTTTCCCTAAGCTCAAAGACAAATTTTTGATGGAGTTGAGGAAGCCCAAGTCAGTAGCTTCCACGGGAATCAGTTCCACGGAAGTGGGATGGGAGGGCCACCAATGTCACCCTTAAAAATGAGAGAAGGCAAAATCCACTTTACTGACAGTCCGCCTGCTCCCGCCTAGGCCTGGTGAAGTGGAGGACATGCCCTATAGCGAAGAGGACGTCACCATTGTGGAGACTGCCCAGGTGCAGATAGGACTCAGGTAAGCCCGACAGGGTGGGGGAGGGGCCTGGCCAGTGGCTGTGGTTACCCTGCTTAACTCTTCGTCTCTTTTGACAGATACGACACAAAAAGTTCAAGTTTCATGGTGTTTATAGCACAGCTCCGAAATCTCCACGCCTTCCTTATACCTCATTCTTCAAAAGTGTAAGTTAAGTCAGAAAAACAACAGCAACAGCTAAAACAAACTGAGGAGCTTAAAACTTTCTCCCAACAATAATTCTGAGTATGAGCAAACAGTTCATCAAAATGAAGATATGGCGGGAGGGTGGGCAACTCGAGGGGTGGCCTAGTGGGTAAGCATTCTTGCTGCTCTTCCAGGGGACTCACATTGGACAGCACCCAACCACCCATAGCTAGAGTTCTAGGACACCAGTGCCCTCTTCTGGCCTCTGCAGATACCAGCACGTGGATATACACAGATACACGTAGTTAAAAACAAACCAAAAAACGAAGGCTATGGGGAGAAATAGCCAGGCTGATTGCGTCTGAAGCAACCGTTGGTAAAGATGAGGAGGGAAATGTGGGCAAAGGGAACTAGGATTAGCTCTTATCCTGATGGCTAAGGTTAAGGTTAGGAATCAAAACTTTATATACAGTTTCTTTTTTTGACAGAGGCTGTGTTGGGGCCTGATTGCCGGAAATATGATTTCAATTTTTATTATGGCATAGTCATGGCTACTGTCAGTTTGGAGAGATTTTTTCTGATGTCACCCATGGCTGTGTAGTGACTACATCAAGCCTCGCCACAGAAATGGTCTATGTTGTATGAAGGAGCGTGTTTTCACCATCTGTGGTCACTTCCAGTGACCAGTGATTGCTCAGCCGCAGTCCCATTACTGTGTTAGACCAAGAACTCCAACAAAGTGTTGATGTAATTCTCCACCACCCGTTGTCTCGGGGCTGTTTCCCAAGAGAGCTGTTTTCTCAGCTCCACACTGCCAGTCTCCTCTAGAGCCGGGGTCCCAGTGACTCTAAGAAGGGCACATAGAAGTGTGACAGAGTACCAAATCTGCATGTCTACCTCCTTTCTGAACACGGCAGGACAGAGACAGAGGTAAAACAGCAGCTGAGTGATTCCCAGGACTCCATAGCCTGCCAGGCGGCTGTTTGTTTAATGATAGTGTCTTCCTCAGAGGCCAGGACTTTAACGGGGTGTGTGTAAGAGTCCTAGGTGTTTGCTAACAGGTTATTGTTAAGTTCCGTTCCCTACAGATTGGGGGGAGAGTGCAGAGGCAGAGCTAGATGGAGATTGTTCGGTGCTAACAGAAAAGTGGTTGAGCATCCATGGACAGTCACTAAGGCTCCTAGGATCCAGGAGGAGAGCGGGCTCGGAGGAGTTTCTGAAGTAGAGCATGGGGACCCACTTCATCACGGTCAGCAGAGAGAGTAGGCGTGAGGTAGCCCCCGGCTGCATCAACACAGAGCAACATTTCGGGAAGACAGGCTCATTTCCAGTCTCTGTGATAACGGAGATTGCTGTCAGTGGCTCTTTAATAAGCCAAGTCAGAGTTAGCAGAACTGTGGGGGACGGAACAGTGAGAACCAACTACTGCGTGTCCTTTTTTTTTTAAAAAAAAAATTATTTTTAGTTTATGTGTATGAGTGTTTGCCTACATATACGTCTGTGTGCCATGTGTGCTCCTGGTGTCCAAGGAGGCCAGAAGATAGCATCAGATCCCCTGGAACTGGAGTTGCAGCTGGTTGTGAGCCACGGTGTGAATAATGGAAACCAAACCCAGGTCCTCTGCAAGGGTAGTAAATGCTCTTCACTGTGGAGCCATGTCTTCTGCCCGTGTCCTTTCTTTCTCTTTATTTTATTTAAAACATCACTTTATATGTATGGACCTTTGCCTGCACAAATATCTGTGTACTGTGCACGTCTGTGCTGCCCATAGAGGCCAGAAGAGGGCATCAGATCCTCCAGAACTGATGTAAGCAGCCATGTGGGTGTGGGACCCTAACCTGAATCCTCTGGTAGAGCAGCGAATACTTGAACCACTGAGCCATCTCTCCAGCCACCACGCTTTTTTCTTACATACAAGTGTTCTATCTTGCCGGGCAGTGGTGGCACATGCCTTTAATTCCAGCACTAGGGAGGCAGAGGCAGGTGGATCTCTGTGAGTTTGAGGCCAGCCTGGTCTACAAGAGCTAGTTCCAGGGCAGGCTCCAAAGCCACAGAAGAAACCTTGTATCAAAAAACAAACAAACAAACAAAAAAAGTGTTCTATCTTGTCTACACCAGCCATCTTCCTAGGCCCTTCATAAGGGATGGTGGCCCCAGGGTAACGCAGGAGACAGCTGGTGGTGTAGCATAGACTTCTGCTCCCCAGTCACTTCGCTTGTCTACTTGGTCTGAACTTCCTGAGATGTAGCAGCGTTTCCTTAAAGTCATGTGTAAGCCTGGATAAGGACACCGCCAAAAGTATCAACCATACACGATGTTCTGAAATGTTCTTTAGTTCCAAGTCTTTGAGGACTTTGTTGTTCTTTCTTTAGCGTTAATTTTCTTTCTTTTTTCTTTCTTTCTTTTTCTTCCTTCCTTTCTTTGCTTTTGTTTCTTTTAATTTAAACTTCATTATTTAAAAAGTTACAAATAAAAACCATCACCGATCAAAATTTGCCAGACCCAGAGACCATATAACTCAATGAACTTCTATGCAGTTAGAGAAGTCATAGAGAACAGGAGCCGTGGAGCCTTCACATTGGATTTTTACACTTTCCGTATCGAATATATTTTTGTTCTGAGCCACCAACAAAAATGAAAATCTATACCAGAGTTAGAACTTACACATCCTCTCCTGTGAGTCATGTTCCTTGCCCACATTCAGTCTTTCCTCTCCCCTTACTACTGAGCCTTTCTCATGTGCTTTTCTACCTGGTATCCTATACCCACAGGTACATTCGTTTGTGTATATACATGTATTACAGGTTAGATTCCACATGACTGAGAGTGTGTGGGGTTTTCTTTCTTTTCTTTTCTTTCTTTTTCTGAGATTGTGGGACCTTGCTTTAATACTGTAGGTTCTAAGTCCACCCATTTTCCTGAGATTTTTGTAATTTCATTTTTAGAGCTGAATAGTTAGTCCTAGTTTTGCATCAACACAAGAATGGATAATAAAAATGTGTGTGTGTGTGTACATGTGTGTGCGCACGGCACACACTATTCATCTCTAAAGGAAAACAGTTTTAAGTTTTTGAGACAAGATCTCATAAATTCCGAGCTAGCCTCAAATGCCTGATCCTCCTGTCTCCACCTCCCAGGTGCTGGAATCAAGGCTATGGGCTACCATGCCTGGCTCCAAAACTTCTTTTTGCCACTAACTATGACAAATTAATCCTCGTGTTCAGGTAGTTAGTTGGTGACAGCTTGCCTAGCTCTGGCTGGAGAGGTCTCTCTTGTAGCAGAGTGGGCAGCACAGTGTCCTTATCTGCAGTTCCTCTGCTGTTGCTCCTTCTCCTCCTCCTCCTCCATCTCCTCTTCCTCCTCTTCTTTCCCCTTCTCTTCCTCCTCTCCCTTCTCCTCCTTCCCCTGTTCCTGTCTCTCTCCCTCCTCCTGTTCCTCTTCTTCCCTTTCCTCTTCCTCCACCTTTTCCTCCTCCTCTTTCTTCTTAATATTTATTCGTTTTGATTTTATATATTCAGGTATTTTGCCTGTACATATGTCTGAGTACCACATGCATACCTGGTACACACAGAGGCCAGAAGAGGGCTTTGAATTCCTGGAACTGGAGTCACAGATGGTTGTGAGCTACCGTGTGGGTGGTAGGAACTGAACCCAGGTCCTCTGGAAAAGCAGTCCCTGCGCTTAGTCACTGAGGCATCTCTTCAGCCCCTGCCTCCACTTCTGGACCTCATCAGCTCAGCCCTGTGCTGTGGAAGCATCTTGAGATGAGCCAGACACTTAGATGGTGGGTATAGCATAGCTGAGACCTGAAGGCTGAAGGGTCAGGCACCACCACTTCCTTCCATTTCCCTCAGGAACATGAAGGCAGAAGGAAAAGAGATTCGTTTCTCCTGAGCCTGCAGCCCTCGGGGGAAGCCGAACCTTTCATCAGCTGCCACTGGGGTCTAGTGCTGAATCTTTGTCATCAATGTTGACATAAAATTAAAAATAATGTGAACTAAAAGTTTTGGGTCTGAATTTACAGGTTTCTCTAACTAGAAAGGGGGGGGCATGTTTTAGACAAGAATGGGAATGGGAAGCGGAGAGATTTAGTGGATTTCTCTTTCTGAATTAGGAGGAAACTACCTCAGGCTGCTTCCCGATCCGTGAGTCTTCATAGGTTGTCAGAGAACTCCCGGAGGAGCAGGGGGCGCGGGTGTCGCTGTGCTTCACTCGCGCCTTTGCTTTGGCACAGCATGAGGTTCTTCTGCGCCTTTGTCGTGGCTGCGTCTCCCCTCCGGAGATGCTAGACAATGGTATTTTGGAGCTGTGGCTTCATCTGTTTCCCATCCTGTTAACAATATGCTCCTTAGCCTTCCTTTGTCTCTGGTAGGGTAATATATTCCGTTCCCCTGCTTGTTCATCAACAATCTCTTGTTTGATGATCAGGATGAGGGTTCTTGGAGAGAAAACCACCAGTGCACGCGTTAGCGCGTTCCCACCTCCCCACCTCAGAAACAGCTGACTTATAAGCTGATGTGGGGGGGGGAGGTGTCAGCCCTGCGACTCTTCCCCCTCGCTCCCCACCATGCCTTTGCTGTAGTCTCATGGTGATGACAGGCTGGATCTTTGGTGTTTCGAGGTCCAGCGGGCATGGGTGGGTAAGAACAGAATGTCTGCAGCTGCGCATGGGCGCACTATGACCGGACACTTTGATCTGATAACGCTCCCCGTGTTTCCTCATTTTCTCTCTTTGGTGGCTAATTACAGATGACAGCTGCGGACCCACTGTAACTGAAGTGCCCAGGAGATGCATTCTGTTCTTGTTCTTCGCAGGTATTTTAGGGTTGCCGTGCTTCCCTCCTCGGCGGATGTGAGCTGCCTATTTCGAACAAAAGTCCATCCACCCACGGAATCCGTGCTGTACAATGATGTGTTCAGGGTGGCCATTTCTCAGGCAGCCCTGCAGCAGAAGACCCTGAGAGTGGATCTTTGCTCTGTCAGTAAACACCGCAGGGAAGAATGCCTGGTAGGCGCCTTCCCAACCGCTCTCAGAGAACACTGTGACCCCTACAAAGCTGTTTTATTATGGCTCTGCCAACAGCAGCTATTACACTTTTTTTTAAACATTTATTTATTTATCTGACTACGACTGTGTTTATGTGCCAAGGCACGCACATGAAGGTGAAAAGGTAACTCGGGATCTTAGTCCTGTCACCATGGAGGTTAAAGCACAAGTCGCCCGGCTTGGTGGCAAGCACCTTTACCTGCTCAACCGTCTCACCAGCTCTGGCTTTCTTTTTTTCTAAAATGTTTTTCTCTCATTCCAGATTTTTAAAATCTGCTTATAAGTCATAAGGTTCTGTAAAGCTTGACTTTCCAGTCCTGTTCTTTGAGCGTGGGAGAACTTTGCCTCTGCCACGGCTATCTCTGTGCACGGGGCTTGCTGCTCCCGATGCTAACCGCGTATGTGGAGTGCTTCCTATATTAAGCTCCTTGAAGGTTTAAAACCTGGAACATTATCATGAAAGTCTGTTGGTAGAAAATTTGATTCCTTGAGCTGGAGAGATGGCTCAGAGGTTAAGAGGATTGACTGCTCTTCCAGAGGTCCCAAGTTCAATTCCCAGCAACCACATGGTGGCTCACAACCATCTATGATGAGGTCTGATACCTTCTGGCATGCAGGCAAAACACGTAGACAGCACACTGTATAAATAATAAAGGCTTTTAAAAAAGAAAAGAAAATTGATTCCCTCCATTTTGGGATGAACAGCTACCAAAGTGGGGTGTGCCCCTAGCAAACAATGGAGCTGGGGATCCAAACTCGTCTCATCGCATTCACTGACTCAAACTGAATTAAACAAAACCCTGAGTGTATGGTTCCTCTGCTCAGCCTATTTACCTCTCCATCGTATTAGGTCATCCAGACAGGATTATTACTGGTTGAAACATGTGATTAAATGTGATCAGTGACAGAAGGGTTTCATACTCAACTGTGTGTTTAGCGTGCTGTCCTGCCTGCACAATTAGGCTTCCATCTCCCCCTAGATGACCTGTCAGGTGCAGGCAACCAGACAGGAGCCGACATGGCCAAAACAGCCGCCTCTTTCTGGTCCAGTAGGAGACAAACACATGTTTAATGATGACCACAGGAAAAGGATGATAGTTTCCCTTTTTTTTTACCATATTTTGAAGAAAAGAGAGAAATACTGTCTGATAATAAAATTAGGATGGCACTAAGATTGTCCTGTTGGCCTCAGACAGGCGTCAGTACAGTGGCCACCATGTTTGCTTGCTATGTGTCAAAGGCTCCAGTAAAATTACTAAATATGTAATGTGTTCCTTGGTACCTTTCAGAAACCGAGATTAGATTCTCACTGTGGCTAGGTGAGGCTCTGAAGTTGCTTTTATCGTTTTTTGTTTGTTTGTTTGTTTGTTTGTTTTTTGGGGGTTTTTTTGGCAGTCTGGTAACTGACAGATTTAAAAAAGCAAAAAGCCCTTGCTGCAGTCTCACTCAAGAGCAAGGCCGTCTCGGTTTCTCAGTAAGGAAGATGTTGTCATAATCAAGCCCCTCTTCTGACACAATAAAGAAGCACTTTGGTTTCTGCTTAGTCATTTATTCATTTATTTTTTAAATTCCATTTAAATACAATTCCACGTTAGAAAGAGTTATGTGCTTACTCATGGAGGAAATTAGTTGGAAAAGTTTAGCATTACAGAATAATCCCAGGATTGCTAGTTTGATTGGGCATTATTTCTTAACTGAGTCATAGCTAAAGATATCAATATGCCCAGATTTTTAAAAAGCCACCGGTCCTGCACAGGGCAGATGGCCGGCCCCATGGGCCGAGAGCCTGATGATCCGGGTCCAGGTCACAGCACATGCGTAAAAGCAGGACTCAGCCCCACACTGGTAGAGGCAGGTGGATCCTAGGACCATGACTCCAGGCTCAGCAAATAAATAAACAATAGTGGAGAAGAAATTGAGGAAACTATCACAAAGTCATCCCGTGTCCACTGCACATATGTATATACGCACACAAAGTGCACACATACACACTTAAGCACTCACAGGCACACATACACAGGTGCGTGTGTGCGTGTACACGTGCACACACACATACACGTACATGCACCCAGACATACACAAATACACAGCCTGTGCTTTATGTCACCAGTCATGTGTCGAATCTGCTCTAAGGCAAGCTCGCCCAGTCATCCTTTGTCTTACCAGAGAGAACAAAGACTAATTGACATGTTTCATTTCTCTCCCATTTTTCTCTTCCATTTTTCCGTAGGCTGGAACTCAGATCAGCCTGGCAGATCTGCCATTTTCCAATGAGATTTTCATGCTGTGGTATAATTTACTTCCTTCCAAGCAAATGCCTTGCGGAAAGAATGAAGAAGAAAAGGAGGCGCCTGTAGTTCAAACAGAGGAGCCGGGGCTGGGTCCTATAGACTTGGTGAGTCACCCCGGAAGACTGATGCTGAGAGGCAGCAGTGCGGTGTGGGCCGCAGGCTGTGGAGGGCAGCGGGCCTGCTGTCACTCCTGAGTTGTTCTTCCTCCTTTCTCCGCCCCTCTTTGCTCCCAGCAGCCTAAGAAGAATCCCTTCCAGGGTAGATTCAAATGGGACCTGCATCATACCTCCACAAATAAAGAGATTATTTGAGGCTTTGTGTTTTGGTTTTGCAGGACAAGGTTTCACTCTGTAACATCCTTGACTATCCTGGAAATTGCTCTGTAGACTAGGCTGGCCTCAAACTCACAGTGATCCACCTGCCTCTGCCTCCCGAGTGCTGGGATTAAAGATGGGCCCCACCACCCCCAGCTAGAGGCTTGAGTAGAGTAGTATTGCCGTGGTCCCAGGAGAGACCCCTTTACCTGTGGTGTCTCTGTCACTTTTCCCTGCTCTGTAAGTTTGCTCAATTCAGGCATTTCATATAACCGAGGGAACGAAAGGTTTGCTCTCTTGCGACCCACTGCTTGCACTCAGCAGAATAGTATTGAGGCCTGCCTGTTAGGGGCAGTGGTAGCGTTTCCTTCCTTCCTCCAGACAGCACTCTGGTGCAGACGGCTCAGTTTGCTCCACCGATGTGCACTGAGTGCTTTCTACATTTGGGTTCCTGTGAATGATGCTGCCATGAAAACTGGTACCCCAGTATTCGCGTGGACATCTGTAGACTGCACTTGCCAGGGCTCATAGTAATTATCCTCAACATTTTGGAGGATTGCACACTGTTTTCTTAATATGTAGAGTAGTTGCCTTTTTACTATTGAATTATGAAATGTGTATGTGTGCAGAAAGTGTGTGTGTGTGTGTGTGTGTGTGAGAGAGAGAGAGAGAGAGAACGCGCGTGTATGTGTGTCAGGGTCTCAGCCCGGGCTGGCCTACAGTATGTTGTATAGAACAGGCTGACCTCTAACTCTGCTCTCCTTCTGCCTCAGCTTTTTTGGGTGCTGGTTTATAGGTGTGTGCCACCACATTCAAATTTCTGTCTTGGTACAAATCCCTTTTCAGGTAATTTTTAGCAGAGATTTTTTTTTTCTCATTTTGCAAGGTGGCTTTTCGTTCTCTTGTTAGCAGTACGAAGGTTTATTATACTTTGATGAAAATGCACCTTGTCTTTTTCCCATCCCCGTCTTCTCTGTCATAGCTACGACTGGCATAGTGGCATAGACATTTATCCAATGTCATCCTTATAGAGTCTTTCATATAGACATCTGATCCATTTGGGTTATTTACACAGCCTATGAGGAGGGGGGGTCGTGTTTCATTCATTTGTGTGCGAATGTATGATTGTGTCTCCCAGAGCTTCCCATTGTTGGGATTCCATGCACACTCAGGTCTTCTTGTTTTCAGGGCAGCATTTGCCCGACAGAGCCCTTCCCAGCCCTCTTGCCACTCACTGCAGTATTGTGTTATATGTTGTGGCCAGGGCACATAGGCAAGAAATCCAGGTGACAGAAAGGAAGTGGTAACCTGTAGTCCTGACAGGGCAGAGACAATAGATCCTAGGGTTCCCTGGCCAGCCAGCCTCACCTGCCTGGCGAGCCATGGGCCAGGGAGAGACCTTGTCGCAAAACCCAACAAAGTCTCATGAAGAATGACAGCCAGGGTTGTCCTTAGCTCCATGAGCATTTGCACGCATGTGCAAATGCACACACCCAAGGAGTGACAAAAGCAGACATCTTTATCTTATTCCTGATTTTGTGTGTTTGTGCCCACATCACGCATGCATGAGTGCACGGTGCCTGTGGAGGCCAGAAGAGGGCATCCGATCCCCTGGAGTTGTGAGCAGCTTGATAGGGATTCTGGGGACTCAGGTCCACGGTCTGGAAGAGCAGCAAGTGCTCTCAGCCTCGGAGCATGGCTCCAGCTCCGGCTACTAATTTTACAGGGACGTTTTCACCATGGGATGACGAAGGGTTTTCGGACTTCCCCTTTATCACACTGAGAAAGACTTTTTTCTCGGATACTTGAATGTTTTTATCATTAAAGACTTGTTGAATTTGCCAAATACTTTTTTTTTAAATCTGCTTGGATTTCCATATTGTTCTCCATCTTTCATTCAATTACTATTGTTTAATTTTAGGTGTTAAATTAATCTTGCATTCCTGGGATAAATCTTACTTGATTTTAAAACAAAACAAACAAACAAAAACCCTAGTATGTGTTCTCTTTTGTTTGTTTGTTTCTTTGAAATAAGCTTGCTAATACTTTGATGATGATTGCTTTCTTGTGTCTGTATTTATTGTTTTCCTATAATGTCTTTGTGGTTTTCTGTGTGTGTGTGTGTGTGTGTGTGTGTGTGTGTGTGCGCGTGTGTGTGCGCTATATATGCATGTGTATGGAGGCCAGAGGACAACCTCAGGTGTCATTCATCTTAGGCATGATCCATCCTGGTTTGTTTTTGTTTTTAAACAATTCTCTCATTGGAACTGGGGCTCACCAGCTTGGCGTGGCTGGCTGAGCAGCTAGCCGGGAGATCCAGCTGTCTTTGCTTCCCCAGTGCTGGGGTTACAAGTGGGCATGGACTTTGAATGGTGTTGGGGGTCAAACAAAGGTCCTCATGTTTGTACCACAAGCACTTTACCAACTGAGCCATCTCCTCTGCCCTGAGAAAACGGGCACTGAAGCAGTTCCTTCTCGTCTCCATTTGGGAGGAATTTGGGAGAATATTGCTACCAATTCCTTAAAAGTCTGATGGGTCCAGTAGCCACGTGGGCCTTAACTGTGGGAAGTCTGGTTCAAAATTCAAGGTCTTATTTGTTCTGACTCTCAGAGTGTTGGTCTTGAATTTGTTTTGGCATCTGTGTCTTTTTAGGAACAGTCTCATTTCAACAAGATCATCTTAATCTGTTCATATATGACAGCTCATATTTTCTCATAGTCGAGCTCATATCTGAAAGGTTATAGAGAGGCTGAGCTGTTAAAAGGTAGGCCCATAACCGAAACGCCAAGAGACCCTACCTCGTTCATGCCAAAACTCAGTATTGCAAACCTCCCCGCTGCTTTTCCTGATCAGGCTAGCTACAGGTTTGCTAATGTTTCGGGCATTTCTGAAGAACCAACTTCCGTTTTACTTGCCGTGAGTTTCCTCCTTGGTCTGCTATTCCCTTTCTTCTGCTTGCTCTAGGATATGTTCTTAAGGTGGAAAGTTAGGCTCTTGGGTTGATGCCTTCGTCTTGTTAAGGTAAATGCTTACACAGCCCTAAGGACCCTGACAGCTCCACTTGAGCAGCCCGGGATCTCTCTCCACTCATCTCAATGTTTTCTCAACTGCCTTGTGATCGCCTTAGGCTTCTGCTTGCTTGGGAAGGTTAATTTCTGCATATTCCTTAATCTCTCATGTTCCCTTCTGTTGCTGGTCTTTAATTTTACCCCGGTGTGACCAAAAAGCCACACTTAGCATGACTCAAGTCCTTTTGAATTTACTGAAGCCACTTCTATGGCCTCGTATGTACTAGAGAATGTTTTGTGTACACTTGAGAAAGATTCTTGTTGCCAATGTTCTACGGACGTTTGTTAGTCCTGCCTAGTTTATAGTGCCGTTACATGAATTTTACTTCACTTTTTACCCTCTTCTAATCTCTATCTCTGGTGTTTATTTTACGAGAAAGGGCTGTGAAGAGATTTGTAACGAAGCGCACAAATCTTACCCAAGCAGTCTGAATTTATGGCAAAGCAATGACACCTGTGTAACTCTGACTCACATCGAATCTCAGTGTGTTTCTGTCGCCTCAGAATCTTCACTTGTCCCCCGTCCTGCTCTTCCCACAGTCTCCCAAAGGAAACTTCCCCCATTCCCTACCTGACTTTGAGTTTGTTGTGATTGAGGTCTGCTCCTGTGTCTGGCATCTTTTGAAATTCGCTTGTTACTCTATGTAGTTAGAGTAACTCATTCACCCTCATTGCTGGGCGATGCTTTACTGTATCTCAATTGATCTGTTCTATTGCTGCTGAGCATCTGAGTTGTTAGAATTTGGGCTTATTGTGATGTTGCTATTAATTTGTGTGCATATAGTTGACGAAACTCCCATCTTTCACTGTTCTCGTGTGTGCTCAGCACTAGCTTAGGTCTTTCATTGTCGCTTCCTTGAGTATAAAATGCATACCGCTGAAAGGGGGTACCGTTTGCAAAGCGTATAGTCTAGCTTTTAACTCATTTTCTTTTGTATTTTGTTGTACTTTGATCTGAGTTTGTATGTCTGGAAATGAGTATTGGAAAATAAATTTCTCACACGTTACTTTCTGTGACTTACCTTTTCATTTTCATAATGTCATCTTTGGGTGAATGGAAACACTCGGTTCTAATGAAACTCTGACAGTTTTTCCCTTTAGGCTCTATCCTTTCCTTTTTAAGAACTACTTGCCTGCAGGGTGTGAGGATTTTTGTTTGTTTGTTTTTGTGGTTTTGTTCTGGGATTTCAAGACAGTATTTCTCTGTGTAGCTTTGAAGTCTGTCCTGGAACTCGCTTTGTAGACCAGGTTGACTTCGAACTCACTAAGATCCACCTGTCTCTGCCTCCCGAGTGCTGGGATCAAAGGTATGCACCACTGCCACCCACTAGGATTTTTTTTTCTTTCGGATTTAGTGTGTATTCCTTCTGAAAATAATCTCTGCATAGAATGTGAGGTGACCTGTCAGGGCTCCTCCCAGCCTCCTGGTAGCCAACTCATCTGGCATCATGGGAGCTTGGGTCATAGTCATTGAAGGGTTTTCTTCCTGTGTGTCTCTATGTACCGTCTCGACCTTGCCGTCCATCCCTGGAATGTGTTCTTGCTTCACCTGGTTTCCTGACGCTGCTCTCAGCTCTATTTGCTGTTTAATTGATTGGTTTTAATTTGCATAATTTATGTTTGGTTCTTTATGCCGGTTCTCTCTCAGCGTCTCCGGTTCCTCCATGCTGTTCATGTCTCTGGCCGTGTCACACACGTGGGTGACTTCCTTGTCTGGATCCTGAGCTGATTTCTTTTCTTTACTGAGCTGCTGATTTGAACCCTCTATATGAACACTGTTTCTTTTCAGAAGGACCCTGGGATCCTTTTCTGGCTAACTCATCCTGTGTTTTGGGTGCTGGGGTGTCTTGGTGGAGTGCTGTCATACTGGAGGCTGGCTTGTGCTGAGACATATTATACTGTACCCTTCTATTTCACACATCCGATGGTAGGCACCACGACCTCCTCTCTTTTATTTTTCCCTCCTTTCCCCACTGCTCTTCATAAAAACTCCTGGTGAGTTGCTATTGCTCAGACATTGCTGTGGGCGGTGGGAGGAGCTGACCGAGGTAGCGGGTAGGATGGGGTGCCAGTCCCCCATCACCTGCAGCGGAGGACACTTGAGCACCTCACTATGTCCCCCATACATAGGCTGCTGGCTGGGGGAAATGTAGTTTATAGTCTTTGTAGGCCAAGAGTATCCACATTTAAGTAGTGAGGTGAGAGGCGGTGGGGGGAGGGAGGAGCAGAAAGTAAAAGTGAGAAGAAAGTGTGTGGCTGGAGGGTTAAAACCCAGCAGAAAATGCTGTGTATTGCGTTTGAAAAAAGGAAGGACAAGCTTTTCCATGGTTGTACCAACTACACAACTAAAGTACAAAAACATAAACACAATAAAAATTAAAAATAGTTAAGATTTAAAGCAACCTTCCTAAATCTGCAACCCTTTAATACAGTTCTTCATGTTGTGGTGACCCCCAGTCATAAAATTATTTTCATTGCTGCTTTGTAACTATAATTTTTCTACTGTTGTGAATTGTAATGTAAACATCTGTTCTCTGATGGTCTTAGGAGACACCGTGAAAGAGTTGACCCCCAAGGGGTCGGGACCCACAGGTTGAGAACTGCTGCTTTAAAGGACTGCTTTTTTTCTTTTTCTTTCTTTAAAAGAAAGAAAAATAAATAAACGAGGTTTCTCTGTAACAGTCCTGGCTGTCCTGGAAGGAGTACTGTCTTTAAAATAAAAATAGGAAGGCAGTAAGATGAACTAGAAAGTACTGAGCCCTTTGTACGTGTGCTTCCCCTTGGTTTGTTTGTTTTTCTAACCAGACTCTACAGGCCATGGCAAGGTGAGCTGCTAGTCCCGGCAGTTCAGCTAAATTAAGCCACTGTGTCTTGCGGAGGAGTTTTGTGGCCAGACTGTTTTCTGCCAGGCTTCCTCAGTCTGATTTCCTCGGAGTGATCATTACAGCCCTGTGTCTGCTGTTTGGGTGCTCCGTGGGTGTGCAAACCCCATAGAGCCCACCCACCTGTGTTTACCTTTGTTCAGCCCATCGGGATGCTGCCTCAAGTTCTGCCACCAGCTTCCTGTGGCCCTGGTCTGAGGGTCCCTGGATAGCTTGTCTTTGTCCTGGCAGTGGCCATTTTTTCAGAGGGAGGAGAGCATCAAGGCTCTCTCAACTTCAGACTCCTTTATCAAACTGGGTCTCCACAGCCTGTGCTGACCGCGGGGTACTGTTCTGTGGTGCGGACCCGTGGCCCTCAGACTTCCATAAAGCACCGCGCCCGGCTTTTCCTCACAGCACACTCAGCTCAGCCTCTGGTGTCAGGTTCCAAGGGTGCAGACTGCTCCCTGGTTTTCTGTCCCCTCAACTCTCAGGGTGATCAGTGCCCAAAGTCCTTGAACACAGTTCCCGTGGCGGGACTGAGCGCAGACTGGGGCTCCAGTCACCTCGGCAGAGCTCCTTGCCGTCCCCATTGGTGGCTGATGTCTTGACTTCCCTCCCATCCTTTCTCATGATCTCACAGACGTGGCCCCTGGCCCAGGCTACAGTGTAAGGATTCCCCCGTCCACTGCTGGCCAGGGGTCTCTCTTCTGTAACTGGCAGCAGCTTCATTCCAGGGCACCGATGGGCTTCTCTTTGTATTCATCCTAGAAGAATAGTCCATGATTCCATCAGTTTTCCTTTGTGCGAGTTGTAAAAGTTTGATTGCTGTCTCTGAAAAAGTTGTGTCTGGATCACTTGCTGGTCTGCCTCTGTTGTCGGTTGTTTCTTTTGGCTTCTCGCCACCAGCAGTTCGGATCGCTGGCTGTTTAGAATGGGGGATTGTAAAGCTCCAGCTGAAGTACTCTTCTGGAGATGTGCTGAGGCTCCTCCGAAGGCGGATGACAACATGGGAAAGTCGCCTGCCTCACCTGGGGATTATGAATCCCAAGTTTTCTCCCCCCAGAACCCTGTGAGGCATGAAATAGCTGCTTACTGTCCAGGCGGCGAGCGGCTGGTTGGGCTCTATTTCTCTGTCTTGCTCTGTACAGATGCAGCTTAGGAAAGGCAGAAGCCTGAGTAGACACATCTGGGTGACGTCCGGCCCAGCCATACTGTGTGGACTGACTTAGTAACTCTGCACTCCTTGGCAGTCTTTTTACGCAGTGGCCCGTGGGGTCCAGAGTCCAGGCAGCCCATCTCTAGCCCGTGGGCCTCACGTCTAGGTTGACAAATGCCTTTAGACTGGCAGTGATGGTCACCTCTCTTGTATCTTTGCTTTCTCCGGGATCTCAGTCCCCCAGCCCCGACGGCCCCTGTCAAGTCTTCTCGCTTTCGAACATCAGGGAGTTTGGGTTTGTTTTTTATTTCATTGTGTTTGGCTTTCATGCTTGTTCTCAGCAGGAGAACTGGGTCTGGTACAAGCTGTGTCTTCACAGCTGGAAGTGTAAGCCTGCATCCAAGGAGTTTCTGCATCGCAGTTGGAGAGTCTGGTGTTAACTGCCGTACGGTTTCTGTTCTGCAGGATGCCGTGTCAGCCTTGCTTGCAAGAACTTCAGCTGAGCTGTTGGCTGTGGAACAAGAACTGGCCCAGGAGGAGGAGGAGGGAGAGCCGAGGCCTGGAGACCAGCGGGCTCCAGGGGGAGACTGGTAAACGGCCACTGCCTTTCGCGCTCGCTCGGACTGGGGCGTTCTCAGTTTCTCAGAAGCTTCAGGGTATTTACAGGCTCCTAGCTTAGTTTGGAACAGTGTGACACCAGGGAGCGCTGGCTGTAGACTCCCTCCCTGGTCGTTAGAGGAAGAAACACAAGGTAGTGGCAGAAGCAGCAAAGTGACCGTGCTTTTTATTCTTGCTCCCAGTAATGATGCATACTGTTTTCCTATGCTTTGTGTTTTATCCACGCTATCCATTTAGAAAGCTATGATACCTTATTATAGAGCCGTGGCTCTTAACCTGTGGGTCAGGATGCCTTCGGAGGCCGAGCGACCCTTTCACAGGGGCCGCATATCAGATGCCCTGCATATCTGATATTTACGTTATGGTTCATGATAGTATAAAAATTACGGTTAAGAAGTAGCAATGAAATAATGTTATGGTTGGGGTCAGCACAACATGAGAAATTGTATTAAAGGGTCACAACATTCGGAAGGTTGAGACCCACTGTTACAGTCATAGATAGGTAAAACGTGGCCTTTTCCTTTCTCTTTTGAGTAGCAGTGTCATTCAGACTTCGTAGGCAAAGTTGCTGTTTAGAAAAGAGTGTCCAAGTGGCCATTTCAGTATTGTCCCCTCCCCTAATCCTTTCAGTCTCCTCCTCGGTGTCAGTGGCCCATCCTTTAAGGATGCCCCTGTCCTGCATCATCTGTCTCTGCATGGGAAGGCTGTCTTCCCAGGTTTTCACTATCTTCTCCAAAACTAAATGTTAGTGAATGCTTCTGTTCTGCGTATCTTCCATGTATAAACGCATTGGGATCAGTTTCTATGGACAGTCGTTGTACTGTTACGTGTGATTGGACTGCTGTCAGTGTGTATGTGTACATACCTGCATGTGTGTATGTGTTCATGCAGAGATGAAATGTGCTAGAAATGCGTGGTGACGAAGGTCACAAATGTTGCTGTCAAGGACACTTGGAAGGAAGGGCTCCAGCAGCGATGTACAAAGGCGTAGAGACACTCTGTGGGTGCCGTCTGCACCCGGCCAGGGATGTAAAGGGTTATCACAGCATCTTAAGCACGGAGCTTTTCGCAGGCTTTAAAGCACGATTCGCCTTGCATTTCAAGGACTGTACTTAGCAGGCTGGGAAGGGGGCTGGGGACTCTGAGTTCACTGTAGTCATCGCTTGCTCTCCCTCGTGCTCATTTCATGGCTAGACATTTAATAACTAGTCTGTGTCAATCTGCCAATATGTCACCGATTGCAATTAAGGCTTGACATTTAGAAGTCAGTGAAAAGGCTTCTTTCTATTCTTAGGACATGAAACTCAGCACAGCCTGCCACGTTGCATATCCTTCAAAATACTCGTATACACTCTGTATAAACTGTGGTCGTGTTCCTCTAAAATATTTTCTGAAATTTTTATTTATTTCTACTTTATGCATATGGGTCTGCGTATACATGTGCACCACATGCATGCAGTACCCTCAGAGGCCAGAAGAGGGAGTGTGCTTCTCTGGATTTGAAGTTACAGAGGGTTGTAAGTCACTACCTGGGTGCTGGAAACCAAACCTGGACCCTCTGGAAGAGCAGCTAATGCTTTTAACTGCTGAGCTGTATCTCCAGCCCTATGGTCACATTCTTGTCACCACCCAAATCACCCCCACAGCTCTAGTTAATGAGCATGTAAGGCAGTGAATTGTCCTCCGTCACCTGATGGCTCAGTCACAAACCCTTTCACAGGTCTGTGCCTGCCTCGTGATGAACATGTAGGAGTAGGTGATCCTCGTGTCTTAGCTACGAATAGCCAACTGTTACGTGATTAATTCTATAACCAACCGAGTAATGCCAAGTTAGTGAATGTCGTGTTTTTACATGCTAGAGTTAAAATTTGTATGTGGTCCTTGAATATTTCTGTTGAAAATCTGGAGTCCTGGTCAAATTTCATAACTTTTAATTTAACATTAACATTGAAATTAACATTTTTGTGCCATGTTCTGGTGGTTTTACTCTGGATTCCTGGGACATACAATGAGAACTTATTTTCCTTGATCTACTTAGTTAAGAACTTTGAGCTGTCACAGCACATCTTGAATGACTTGTGTGAATCTGTTACTTCTCAGGTGACGCGTTAACATGCCCAGGCCCACTGCATGGAATATACCTGCCAGTTCGGAAATGACTTTTCATTTTTCTTTTGTTTTGTCTCACCATAGCTTAGCGATGCTCAGAGAGGCCTCTGATGAAACTGTGGCCGCAAAGGAGGCTGAAGCTCACTTGGCAAAGGACAGTTGCAGGGGAGGCCCGAGGGCCTGCACTAATGGGCCTGAGAAGAGTGAAGCCCAGTGTAGGAAAGAAAGCGAGCCTGCTGCAGACCCTGCTCAGCCACCAACTGGAATTCCCACCCTGGTAAATGTTCTGCTACACCCTTCTAAAACAAAACCCTGTGGACGCCACGTACTCAAGGGTGCTTGTCTTCTCTTTCGAGTACATCCTAAACCAGGATTTGGGCCCCAAAGCTGACTCTGAAAGGCTTTTATGAAAATATCACCGAGAGCATTGAAAACACTTTACAATTTTCACATGGACTCAGAATATTAATTTTTCCTTTGTATTTGGCAGAAACAATGCTCACTACTTTATATCTCTATAAACGTTCTGTGAGTGCTTGTTAAAAGTATTGTCTGAGGCTAGAGATGCAGTTGAATTGGTCCAGTGCATACAGCCCTGGATGTAATCCCCAACACAGCTGTACCCCTGGAACTCAGCAGAGGTATAGGCAGAAGGATCATCAGCTGTATAGTGAGTTCAAGGCCAACTGAGATACACAAGGCTCCATCTTAACATAAGCAATGACAAAAACAAAGCAAGTATTTTCTGGCTCAGGCGTGGTGATTCCTGTGATCCCAACCCTCATGAGTGTCAGGCCAGCCTAGGCTCCACGGCAAAACTCTGTCTCAAACAAGAATTTTTCCATTTTAGAGACATCAGAGAGCAGAGACTACTTAATGGTATCAAGTTTTGAAATTTTATTTTAGTGTTAAACATGAAGTAAGAATTTGAAGTTCATCTTGGCTGGCTGGAGTGCCGGCTGAAACCTTCTCTGAACAAGAATGCTGACTTGGGTAGGCACAGGTGTGATGAGTCTCTCTCTGGCCTGCCAGCCAGCTCCCAAATAACGACATGGAGATTTCTTATTAATTATGAAAGCTCAGCCTACAGCTTAGACTTGTTCCTAGCTAGTTCTTATAACTTAAATTAACCCATATTTTTATTACTCTACATTCTACCACATGACTTTTACCTCTGTCCCATTCTGTGTGTCTGACTCATTTCTAAATGGCTGATTTCTCCCTCTTTCTTCTTCCCAGAGTTCTCTGTTTTCAGAAGTATCCCCTAACATCTTCCTGCCTAGTTATCGGCTGTTTAGCTTTTCAATTGCATCAACAACAGCAATACACTTTTTCTTTTACACCATATAACATAGGTGTAAAAGTGTAGCATTTTCCCATTTTCTTTTTTTGTTTTGTTTTGTTTGTTTGTTTGGTTTGTTTTTTGGGGGGTTGTTTGTTTGTTTGTTTGAGAAAAGGTTTCTCTGTAGCTTTGGAGTTTGTCCTGGAACTAGCTCTTGTAGACCAGACTGGCCTCGAACCCACAGAGATCTGCCTACCTCTGCCTCCCGAGTGTTGGAATTAAAGGCATGCACTGCCACTCAGTTATTTTTATTTAAATAAAAAGGAAAGGTTTTAACTCTAACATAATAAAACTATATATATTAAGAACATTTATCAGTTAAATTGCTTTCACAGTGTCCAGTTTATTTGTATTTGGCATATTTGGAGAAAATAATATATTCTCTATCTTATCTTGCTGAATTTAAAGTTTTGTACCAAACCATTTTTATCATAACTTGTATTACCATTGTAAAACTATCTTTTTAGACCTCAAAACATTTTCATAGATAAACAATTTAAGCTTTTATTTTTATTCTCTCAACCTTATACCCTTTATATCTCTTTTGTGAATTTGGTAACAAGGAAAACTGTAACTATAACTACCTCATCTTCAACTTTGTCAGAGACCCAAGAAGGGCGTAATATTACCTGAGTAATCAGGAAGCAAAAACTTTCAAAACTATGGAAATGACAGAAACAGCCGGCTGCCTGGACCGTCATCCAGGGTTCCTCTGCAACATTGTGGCATCCATCTCCAGCCTACAGGCCGAGCACAGCTGACAGAATTCTCTATAAAGCAAGAATTTTGTCCTGACAGAATTCGGCAGTCACTTTCTTTTGTGTCTTGCTTGTTCAGTAGTCAAGACAAGGACAGTTTCTGCCCAAATGGCTAGCTTTGCCACATTGAAAGCAAACTCTATATGATGGCTCTTTGATCCTCGTCATCCTTTTTTGAAGTAAATTGATGCTGCCGTAAGCAGACCTGTCTCACTGTCATGAAAAGCCATATGTTATGAAAACGTTTAAAATGCCATATTCTGTAGGTCTTTGAAGTGTTTGAAGACCATCTATCTATCTAAAATATATTTCTGTATGACCTTGAAAACATACCTAATATGGCCACAAATTTGACTGTTATAGATGACTAACCTGGATTTCTTAATTATCATAAATGATTTATAATAATAGCTTTTAAGGAATAGAAGTTTACATTACATTTTTAAAGAGCTACATAGGTAAAATACCTTAAATAAGAGTAGAAATCATATATATATAGTATAGCAAAATAACCTTAAATTTGTATCAATATATAAAATTCATGCCAATGTAAAATACTTGAGACCAGTGTTTATTCAAAAGTAGACTCAACAATTCACTTTTTATCCCTTCGTTCTGTAGCTCCCCCATTTCCCTTCAAAAAGAGATCCCTGAACATCCATAATCCACTGAATGATTAAAAACCACCCATCCCACCTCTTGGGGATATGGGAGTTGTAGTCTCTAGAGTGCTTCCTGTTGTCTGGGGTGAGGGGAAGGCAGCATCTCTAGGGAATCCTGAGAAAATTGAGATGCTAGTCAAGTCCTAGGAGACATAGCTGTATCATTTGCTGTCCAGGCTCTGTGGAATAGGAAAAGTGCAGAGACTTTCCTGAAGTCCTGGCTGGAGTAGTCTGTGAGGCTGGACCGTCTCAGCTAGCAGGTTTGGAATTGTTCTGGATGCCAAATTTTGAGGAAACTGCAACAGAGGCATTTTGAGGCTGGAACACCTGGACTACTTGTTTTTGTTGTTGTCTGGTCCTTTTTTTTTTCTGAAAACAAACTTTTAAAGGCAACATATCTCTGCATCAGCACAAGTATGGCATCATGGGCGGTGGGCACAGTCAGCTAAAGATGATTGTTTGATGTTTGAGCAGGTAAAACGTATCTGTTTGAAAGGACGGCATGTAATGATCAGTCACGAGGACTCTGTAGCCAACGAGATTTATCATGGTTCACCAGCTGCTCCCATAGTAGGGGGGTCAGCATATACAACACCTGTCCTGTCGTCTTTCCTGGTTTCTTTCTTCATGTTGGTAGCCAAGACTTTCAGGTCTCCCCCTTTATTACTTTACTTTTTCTTTAAAGACTTTATTATTTTTAAACTATTTATAAATGTCTATACCCATTTTCTTTATTTTTTTAAATCACCTAAACCTATTAAACATACTGTACCTGACTTTTTTTGCCTCTGCAGCCTTCTCAAGCCAAATCTTAAACTGCTCCCACCACCTGACTCTGCTTAGCTTACGGCATGCTGGCAGCTGGCTCCACCCCCTTTATTCTGTGAGAGCCTGGCCTCATGCCAGCGGTACCCGCCCGCAATTACATTTACCTGCCCCAACACTGGAATGTTGTGTCCGCCTGAGGCAGGCATTTGTACCAGGTGTCAACTGCTCAAATGCTCAGCTATACAGCAGGGCCTTTTAAAAATAGCCACACCTCTGTACACTGAGCCTGCCTGAGAGTTCCAGGGAACTTTTTCTTTTCTTTTCCTTTCTCTTTCTTTCTTTCTTTCTTTCTTTCTTTCTTTCTTTCTTTCTTTCTTTATTTATTTATTTATTTATTTATTTATGGATCCGTGATTATGAAACAGGCAACTTGATCCTTGTTTATATATCAGATATATCAAATGCCATCATTACCAGGGCATCCCTCAACAAGATGCAGAGCCCGTGTGTCAGCAGAGGGTGTGGAGAGAAATCTCTCTGGAGCCTGTTTCAGGGGACAGCGTATGCTTTATTCGCATGGGCGACCTCTTAGTGGAGCCTGTGACTGTGCTTGGTTAGCACGTTACCTCAAATAGCCAGAGTCTCTATGCAGAAGTCGCATGTTAAAGACATGGAGAGTGCAGACCTGTCACATGTTAGCTACAGGCTACCAAAGCGCAGTGTGCCAGGTAGGCTGACTGGTGGGTTATGCCTGCATTTTCTGCTACAATCAAGACGTCCAGAATGGGAATGTATCCTGTCCAAGACTCAAGAGTGAAGACTCACTAAAAATAAAAGACAGAAAACTGCTTGTTCATGGAGTTGCTGTTGGGAGACACTTCTGCTTTCTCTTCAGTTGTGGTTTTGCTGGATTTCTGAAGACCCACGGGAACCACCACAACAGTCGTTGTTCATTTAGTGTGACTGCAAACTCCACATGTCTGCAATTTTATGTTACTGTTTTGTTTTCATCTATTTTTTATTTTACTGTTTTATGTCTGTGGATGCAGTGCCTGCATCTCTCTGTGCACTGTGTACGTGCAGTGCCCACAAAGACCTGCATCTCTCTGTGCACTGTGTACGTGCAGTGCCCATTGCCTGCATCTCTCTGTGCACTGTGTACGTGCAGTGCCCACAAAGACCGGAAGAGGAAGTAGGGCAGGAACTGGAGTTGCAGACAGTTGTGAGCTGCCGTGTGGATGCTGGAGAGTGAACCTTGAACCGTGCAAGAGTGGCCACCGCTCTTAACTCTGGAGCCATCTCTCCAGCCTCTATATTGAATTCTTAACCATTTTTTATCGTTATACCTTGTTCTGACAACGAGAACCAGTGTTTAAAGATGATACATCTCTCCTACTTTCGAAGTAGGAGTCCTCACATTTCCATTAGGAAAGTCTTCCTCTCCTTTCTGAAGCACGGTGCTGGAGGGCCAGCCTTGCTCACAGGCCTGGAAGAGTCTCTGCTTGAGCTATTTGCTCAACTCCCCAGAACAGTGGTTCTCGGCCTATGGGCCATGACCCCCGCCACAGGGGTTGCATATCAGAGAGCCTGCAGGTGTCACAGATTTACAGTACGATTCCTAACAGTAGCAAAATTGTAGTTATGGAGTAGCAATGAAATAATTTTATGGTTGGGAGACCCCACCACATGAGGAACTGTATGAAAGGGTGGCAACACCAGGAAGGCTGAGAACCGCTGCCCTAGCAGAGCAGCACATGTAGGACGCGCACCTGCCCGCTCCCGCTGAATCACCAGCTTTCATTGCAGGTCGATAAGGAGACGAATACCGAGGAAGCAGTGGATAGCAATATGTCGGTCCGCCCCAAAGACCGCAGCGGCCTGAGCTCCCGACAGCATCCCTTCGTGAGAAGCAGCGTGATAGTGCGCTCACAAACCTTCTCCCCAGGCGAGAGGAGCCAGTACATCTGCAGGGTAAGGGGCAGCGCTGCCTGGAGACGCTAATGGCTACAAACGGCAGGTGTAGAATGGTCCCCGCCCACACACACACACACACACACACACACACCATACACACAATGTCTTGCTGGCTCTAATGTAATTTACTTGGCAAAGAAGTAAAGTGTAAGGATTTAGATGCTAAGAATTGTTGATCTTCTATGTTTAGAAACATAAAATGACTTAAGAAATGTATTTTGTATGTTTCATATGCATTTCTAACTATGTTAATCATGCTGAAGAGAAAATGTGAGTTGGATTCTACAACAAAGATTCTAAGACCTTGCGTCCCTGAATCAGACTCAGAGTCCACGGGTGAAAATTGTGAGATTGATGTCGGTTTCCACAAAGTCTACTTGATGAATTATTGTGAACTATAGTAAATGGCTTTAATATTACATACAGCTAGGCAGATAGTTTTAAAATTTTGAACTTACCCAGGCAATAAAGTCTTTATTGAGCGCCTTCCTAGAGACAAAGACTCCGCCCCCTTCTCATTTGCACAGTTTTGGTTCTCGTCAATGACTCAGCATAAATACTAAGCAGCTGCAGAAGCCCTGGGTTGCTGTTGATGGAATCAATGCCGTGGGAAACAGAAGAGCAGTGGGGGTTGGAGTAGACACAGGGCTCTGGGTGGCCTTTCTTGAAAAGGTGACCTTCAGCAGAGCCTGAGCCAGGGGGAGCTCTTAGCACTTAGCTACAAGTACAGAACTCGCTGCCTCGGCAAACCTTTACATCCAGACTTTGATACACTGCTACCAAGAGGCAGCTCTTGGGGATATTTAGGAAAATTAAGTTCAGAAAACCTAAGAATAGGGAAGAAATTATTTATGAAAGATTTTTCTAAAAATATAGCTCCATGGCTCTGTGGTTGACCAGTTCCCTAGGGTGGCCCTGGGTTTGATCCCCAGCACAGGAGTGAGGGAAAAGAAGACGTCTTTCACATCGTCTCTCTCTCCCTTCTTTGCTCTGTAACCGCCTCCCTTCTGACTGCCACTAGCTGTTGGTTATTTTATAATTATCTTCTTTCCTTTTTATCTCTGGTTCCCAGTTAAATCGGAGTGACAGTGACAGCTCAACCTTGGCCAAAAAATCTTTGTTTGTGAGAAACTCCACGGAACGGCGCAGTTTGCGGGTTAAAAGGGTGAGTATTCCGTGGGTCAGACTTGAAGACCATAACTTCCAAAAGGGTTGAGTGTCCGCACTACCGGCTCTCAGGCTGGTGACGGAAGCCCTGGATCTTCTTCAGCTGCAGCTGGGAGTCACTTACTGAGCCGGGGAGGATGTGTTTGTCCCTGGTTTGGAACCGGTGCTGATTAAGGCTAGAGACTGGTTTGCAGTGTCTTAAGAGAAGGTGGTCACTAAGCCCCCAGTGCCGGTGGGGACTTCAGCATCTCCACCATGTCCAGCTCTTGAATGATTGTGGAAGAATGTAAAACCTGGCACCTTCCCTGATGGAGCAGATATTCCACAAGGAGTAGCACATGGGTGCTTTGTGAGGGGTTTGGGGAGACAAGGGGTGTTGTGGGATATTTTGTTCGCATTCTGACAATTAAGTTTGCTTTGAGTCAGAGGGCGGAGCTAGCCACTAGCTGACCAAAGTTAACCATAGAGGTTTTGGAGGACTGAGGACAGATAGGAGACAGGAAGTAGTAAGGCAGGGCTGAGAGAGGAACTCAGCCCTTTTGGATGGAGGAGCAGAAGACATTTTATAACTTGCAAAAACAATTATTTTTAGGGATTGGAAGTTAATATAGCTAGGACAATTCTCACTTCTTTCTACATCACCTGCCTTCCGAAGCAGTTCTTGCTTTTAGGGGATAGCAGTGTGGGGGCATTTTAACCAGAAGGGTTGAGGGCCTGAGTAGAGCCGGGTTACTCATAAACTTAAGAACCCCTCGATCTAGACAAAGGCATATTCTGAAATGTTGCTTATGTTGGGGTGTAGCTGCAGGGTGGCGTTCTGATTTAGGGATCCCAGCAGGGAAGCTGTAGAGGTCTTGAGGGTACAGAGCACCGCAAAGATTTGCCGGTATGGCTGTCACGGTGTGAGGATCCTCGGCAGTGCTGTGCTGAGCCCTCACACTGCCTCTGAGGAGCCAGCTGTGTTGAGAATGGTATAGGGAATGGACACACAGTGTAAACCATTGTAGCCTGTGAGTCCGTGCTGCTCACATCTGTGAGAGCTCACTGCTGAGCACCGATCCACTGTACACTAGTCCTCGTGGAGGCTTCATGCTCTTTTGCTGACGTGTGTGTGTGTGTGTGTGTGTGTGTGTGTGTGTGTGTGTGTGTGTGTGTAGCAGGCATATGCATACCACAGTGTATATTGAAAGTCGGGACAACTTTTGGGAGTTGGCTCCTGTCTTCCACCTCGCTGAGGCAAGGTCCCTCTTGTTCCTACTGCTTCATTGTGTACCCTAGCCTAGCTGGCCTGTGAGCGACTGAGCAATTCTGTTAGTGTCTTGTATGAATGAGACGCATGCTACCACATACAGCGTTTGCCTGGGTCATCTGTCCTATGTGCTAGCGTGTTTACCCATGAGCCATCTCCCCAGTTGTGGGGAGGGGTCTGACTCTGAAAGAAAGTCATGTGGTCAAGACACTTGCACATCTCGCTATTTCTTTCCTTGCTGTGCGTGTGTGGAAAAGGCAGGGACTGGGTACAGGAAGCCAGGATATTTAGCCATGACATCTATGTTGGACAAAACAGAGAGGGACTAGAAGACAAAGCTATCCCAAGCTGGGCCAGGTGGTGCAGGCCTGTTATGTGACACTGTCCCTAGGAGGTGTGAATGCATGTCTACTCGTCCCTCACAGGGAACCGACAGACCCAGTGTGAATACCAACAAAGCCCAACCCTTTAATCTTGGAGGGACCCGCTACAGAACAAGGCCCTTTATAATCTCAGACCCTTGGGAGGCCAACTAGGAAGATCACAGTGCAAAGACAGTATACAAAGTCAGTCTGGGACCAACCTGGGACTTAGTAAAACTGCCTTGAAATAGAAAGGGGGCTGGGGTGTAGCTTACTGGTAGGATACCTAGACTTACAAGGTCCCAAGTTCAATTCCCAAGACGATTAAAGAAAAAACAAGCATTCTAGTTTTGGTGAGGCCTCAGTCCAAGAGGCACCAAAAGGTCCCCTCCGTCTCCAGACCAGAGCGCTGTGCCATGCTGTCCTCGTTCTTCTCAATCTCAGCTCCCTTCCCCACCGTTGTGAATCCAGACAGAAATTCTCCTGTGGCCCTGCTTCCATTATCCTTTCAGCCTAGTTTAAGTTCTCTTCCTTGAGTGGGTCTGACTCCTCCCCGAGTCCTCCCTCCCTCAGCTGGCTTCTGGAGGTTTGTGTAGGTAAGACACAAACTCTCAGTTCACCTCTGCCTGCAGCCTCATCAGAGCCAGAGACGCCATCCTTCCCCTAATGCCGCCAGCAGGCATTTACTCCTATCTACTCGGAATGATTTCTTGATAAATGGATAGATCGGCCCTAGGGAAGACAGTAATGAGAGCAGACCGCACAGTGGGAATTCAGGGAAGGAGCTGGAATGTAAATATCTGGACTGTAGGGCAGAGGCGATCTCCACTACGTTCTGACCAACACTCACAGCCTTGGTAACAAAGGAGCGAGCCGCAGGGGTTGTGTGTCCTGAACTAGAGAGTATATAACTATCTTGTGATGCATTTTCTTTTCATTCAGCATGAACTGTGCTATCCACTTAAAATCATTTTAATTATGATCGTTTGTTTGGAGGGGTACCACCTAATGTGTGTGGGGGACAAGAGACAACTTTGAGGAGCTGTTTTCTCTGCCCACCATGTGGATCCCAGGGATAGAACCCAGGTCATCAGACTACCTAGCACCCACTTTTGAGATCTCTGTACTTTACAATGGTTCAGCTTTATTGCATGCTCAGCTACTAAAGTGGCAGGCTGGCCTCATAGCAGCCCCAGCTGCTCTCACTGGGACCCAGGCTGATGGAGTTCCCACCTCTGACTCACTGCTGTGTCCCCAGTGGAGGCAGAAACGTACAGATCTCACGGCAGTTTTGACAAGCGTCTACCCGGTGGGATACCTCTCCCAACACCCTGTCTTTGGCCAAAGCAAACCACATAGCCAGTTCTGCGTCCTGTCATGTGAGAAAGGGCAGAGGTAGGAACGGGCATCTGTTGTGTCTCCCACCACAGGCCGTCTGCCAGCCCTCCCTCAGGAGGACTGCTCAGGAGTGCCCTGTGCGCACATCTCTGGACCTGGAGCTGGACCTGCAGGCCTCGCTGACCCGCCAGAGCCGCCTCAACGACGAGCTGCAGGCCCTGCGGGACCTGAGGCAGAAGCTGGAGGAGCTGAAAGCTCAGGGAGAGACCGACCTTCCCCCAGGCGTGCTGGAGGACGAGAGATTCCAGAAGCTTCTGAAGCAAGCAGAGAAGCAGGTATGGAGTTCTGGGTCACCCCAGCAGGGGCTGGTGCAGAAGTATCCTAGGGGCGGGTACCTCGGAGGAGGGTCCCAACATGGACATCTTTCCATCCTTTTCCTAGGACCTGGGGCATGGCCACCCCACCACTGTAGTGTCCTTCCTGCCCAAATATTGCTGTGGTCGTGGTTGTCCACCCGACCCCAAGGCAGCTCTGTAGTTTCCTGACAGAAAGGGAGCAGGGCGGCATTTTGGCGTTTCAGCAAATGGTGCCCAGTGTTTGCATTTCAGCACCATTTGCCACAGGAGCTATAAATATGCTGCTAATTTTAATGTTTCTAAATTTTCCCTTTCCTTCCTGGAAAAAAAAGATTGCATTTCATTTTAATAGTACGCATCCTTTTGCCTTCACCCCAAAAACATGTCTAGAAAATAAGATAAGATGACGGAATAAAGAAATGGGGGCATCTCAGTAGGTAGCCCTGACTGCCCTGGAACTTGCTGTGTAGACCAGGCTGGCCTCAAATAGATTCACCTGCCTCTGTTGAGAGACTGATGGGATTAAAGGTATGCACCACACACACGCTGTATTGTGGTTATTGTGGAGATTTGTTTTGGTTTTTGTTTTGAGACAGCTCCTCACTGATTTCAGGCTGATCTTTAAGAATGCCCTTAATTCCAGGACTCTGAAAGTAGAGACAGGCAGATCTCTGTGAGTTCTAATCTACGTAATGAATTCCAGGATTGCCAGGGTCACATAATGAGACCCTGTCTCAAAAATACAAACAAAATAAAAAGAGAGAACATGCGATCCCCCTGCCTCAACCTCCCAAGCACTGGCACTATAGGCATGCACCATCCCTCCTAGCAAAAATCAAATATTTTAAAGGGATTTTTTTTCTAATGTGCCGCCTAAATATTACTGAGTTTGCCTGAGTATAATACTGATTTATTCTCAGGCTTAGGATTTATATTTTATCTGTATTCATTGCTACAGATAATCTTTAAATATGACTTTCCATACAGCTGGAATGTTACAAGTGCCTGATCATTATTCTTTTAATGTGGCCCTTTGGGTGGCGTCTGAAGAGCAGCAGGGGATTCCTGAAGTGTCCACTAGAAAAGGACCCTCCCTAACAAGTTTGTTTTTGGACTGATACGCCGGGTCCCACCTGGTGGCAGTGTTGAGAAGCAGCTGAGCCACAAGGACACTAAACTCCTCAGCTGAGGACTTCCTAGCTGAAGGAGCTGTTGGAAGGTGGAGGTCAGTTGGGAGAGGGGAGTCCCGTGGGTGCCTTTGAAAAGCCTTGCTTCCAGGTGGGCCTATGCTACCCCGCACATTACCCACAGCCGTTTCCTGCCCCCGTGCATGGGTTCAGACACAACAGAACTGTGGCAGGGTTTGGAGAAGAGATGGGGAGGGGACTTGTGGCAGAACTTTACCAGAATTTTCCAGACTCTTTGGGTGTGTGTACGCCAGGGACCAGGATAGAGCTTCCATCAAAACCTTCTTCCCTTTCAGGTGTTCTCTTAGGTGTTGCTACAGCAACAAGAAGTAGCTAAGATGCTGATGAGGAAAGAATGGTCCAGGCAGATTTGAGATTTAAAAGATTCTTTGAATGTGTTAAGCATTATTTGCCCACAATTTAGGCAAATGTCTAAGGAAATTCAAGAATTAAGAAAAGAGGTTGAAAATCTTTTATATGTTAAAGAAATGACAGCAGAAATTTAAAGTCTATTCATAAAGAAAACATCAAGTCAATATATAAATTCCACCAAATTTTTAAAGAACAAATTGTCTCAATTTCACACACTCAGAGAGTGTATGCCACACTTAACACTCAGAGAGTGTATGCCACACTTAAATCTGTGTGGCTAAATCCCTGATTCTAAAAGAGAAGCTGTTATCAAAAAGGAGAACCACAGGCTGATTTCACTGTGGCTGTAAATGCAGAAGCCCTCACTGAAATACCAATAAACACAATCTAGTGACATATTTTACAAATACTTTCCTTTACCATATTGAACTATGGGAGGATACTTTAATATTAAAAGTTTGTTAGTACACTCACTTAACAGACGCCAGGGGAAACTGTCAGTCAGCTTGATTGGTGTAAGCAAATACAGTGGACATGGATATTTAAAAATCTAGTGAGCAGGAAGAAGACAGGATATTCCTTAACCTTGTGAGAAATGACAGAAACCAGATGTGACCCTAAACAAGACAAACAGGAAGTCATTTCTTTAAAATCAACTGTGTGAGGTGGCGCACACCTTTAATCCCAGCACTTCAGAGCAGAAGCAGATGGATCTCTGGGACGTGGAGGCCAGCCTGGGCTACAGAGTAAGACTCTGTCTCAGCAAACAAACAAAACTATAGAATAGCAATAACCAAAGTAAAGTGAGACAGACTGTCTTAATATTCAGTTGCTTTGAAGATACACCATGACCAACTCAACTCATAAAAGAAAATACTTAGTTGGGGACTTGCTTACAGTTTCAGAAGCTTATGCCATTGTTGCCAGTGTCAAGGAGCATGGTGGCACACAGGCCTTGTGCTGGCATAGTAGCCGAGAACTACATCCTGGTCCATAGGCAGAGCGTCTGGGCCTGATATGAACTTTTGAAACCTCACAGCCCACCCCCAGTGACACACTTCCTCCAACAAGGCCACACCTCCTAATCCTTCCAATCCTTTCCAACAGTTCCGGTCCCTGATGACTAAGCATGCAAATCTATGGGCCTACGGGTCATCCTCATTGAAACCACCAAGGATACTCAGCACTCTTCCACACTGTGTTAGAGGTACTAGTCAGCGCTATAGGGAAGCAAATGCCGGAAAAGAAAGGAAGCCGTCGTTCTGGACAGACAGCACAGATGCCTGCATTAGGAAAAATCTGAGCCAGAAAAAAAAGGAGCAATTGATAAGTTATTGCAGATAGTAAGAGAGTCCAAGTCCAGCAAGATGAGTACCAAAGAGTAGCACCGTCTCTTCTGCTTCTCTCTACTTGAGTTCCTTTGCACGGCCACAGCCGACTGACTGAACACCTTAATGGAGGGCGGTCACATTCAGACTGTCATTTCAGAGGGTTCTGGCTGTGGTTCCATGGTCGCTGCACTTAAGCAGCGCATCCTGGTTATGGGAGCGTGGAGGGAGGGGCTCTTCTCATGTCAGGCAGGAAGCAGAGAGCTGGGGTCAGGACAAGGTGTGCTCTTTAAGGCACTGTCTTAGGGCCTACTCCCTCCACGTAGGCTGCACCACCCCAAATTTCTAGTACTTTCCGAAACAGCACCACCAGCCAGGGGCAAAGCCTCCAGCACGAGCCCTGGGGAGGTTTCGTATTTAACCTGTAGAATGTTTTATGTACCAGCTAGAAGCAATCAGAAAGCTCCAGCACTGACATTTATACCATTACCAAGGAGAGTATCTAGTAGTAAGTTTATAGGCAGTGTAGGGAAAATGGCCAACTTTATGGTGATAAGAACAAAGTCACCTTCCAAAATACACCACAGTCACTTCAGACAGGTGAAGGCTCAAGGTGCCGTCCTGTAAAGGGCCACTCACTACATTCAGCTTTGGGTCCATCGTGCGGGCTGAGTCTCCATTATACAGAACTGCTATTCTACCACAGAAGCAACCACAAACCGTGAGTAAGGGTGCTCCCTGCCCTTCCGGAGGGCCTGGGTTCAGTTCCCAGGACCATGTAGGCAACTCCCAACTGCCTGTAATTAATCCGGGGCAGGGGCACACCTGATGCCTATGACCTTCATGGGCCCGGTCACTCGCGTGCATGTGCCCACCAATAGACATACATGCACATAAGTTAAAATTAAAATAAAATCATTAAAAGAATTAGAAATACATGGCTACGGCAGTATTGTAACAAGGCTTCACTTAGAAAAACAAATGGCAGACCATAGTTTATCGATCACTATAGCTACATGAGCGATTACCTTCCTAAAATCTACCAAACTTCCAGGCAAAATGCCTATTTTCTTTTTCATGGTTGTTGAAGAAAATTCTGAAGAAGAAAACCATTGGAGGAAATACTCCCTACGGAAGTCAGGATTTATTAAAAGAGTCAAGAGTAGCTCAACAGTGTAATGTAAATACCCATGTTTCCAACAGTCTTAGGAGGAGACCTCTGTGAAAGGACTGGTTGACCTGACCTCCCTGCCATCCTGTGTGTGTGTGTAGGGCGCTGCTGTGTGGGCAGGAGACTTGTCGGTCAGAGGACAGAGGGCAGGGATGCTCTGGGGATGTGACTGGGTGAGTGGCAGCGCACTTCATCAGGAGAGATTATCTTCACAGAAAAGGATGGCATACATCTCCGCTTGGCCTGTGTGCTGGCAAGAACGGCCCAGGGGCTCATGTATTTGTATGCTTAGACATCAGGGCGTAGCACTGTTTTAGAAGGATTAGAAAGATTAAGAGGTGTGTCCTTATAGGAGGAAGTATGTCACTGGGAAGGCTTTGGAGTTTCAAAAACCCAGGCCCAGTCTCTCTCTCTGCCCATGGGTCAGGATGTCGCTCCTGGTGTCCTCTGCAGCGCCATGTCTGTCTGCCATGCGCCATGCTCAGGGAGCCTCTGAAACCATAAGCTTGCCCCTAGTTATATGTGTTCTTCTCTAAGAGTTGTGCTGGTCATGGCGCCTCTTCACAGCAAGAGAGCAGCGACTAAGACGGCGTGTAAAAGTCAACTCCAGATAGACCGTGAGCTCTAGCGTAGGAAAGGGAAGTCGAAGACATCCACTAACAGTAAGAAGTAGGGCTGCTGCTTTCGTGTTTGGTTGTGTGTGTCCCATACACCTGTGGGTTTCTCAGAGGCGCTATGGGGCGGGGCAATGATAGTGATTATGTATGTCAGGTGCTCAGAGTGCGAGGCTCCTCCCAAGCCCTTTGGGTCAGGCAATTATCCCACAACAGTTTGAGGGGCTTTGGCAAATATAACCAATCTCTGGCTGATTACAAAGCAGAATGAAGGCACCTCTTGAAAGTTAGGGTCTCAGTGTGCTTCCTTACACGGCGTGTGTCACTGTGGCTCTTCAGAGGTCCCCGAATGAATACTGGGGACTCAAAGGCACTGGGGGAGCTCTTCTACTCTACACTGCCACACCTATGAGACCCTGGGGTTTGTCCAGTGGTTGGAAAGTGGAGGAAACATAAATCTCAGTAACCAATGAATGGAGAACCTTGAACAGTTCTTCCCGTGAAAAACAAGTCACGTGACACAAATGTTCCCTCCTGCTGCCACCAGTCTAGGTATGGACTTTCTTGTGTCCTCGGGCAGACTCACCTCCTTTTCCTTATGATAGTGCCCTATGAGCCCACCCTTCCTTGGCGACAGTTTCTGTGGGCTTTTTAAAGCTTGCTGGCCTTTCAGTCCACTTTCAGTTTTGCCTGACCCTGCCCACTCTGAGACGCAGGTATTGCCCCTCACTTACCAGTGCAAAGGTGAACGAACACAGCAGAATGATGAGAACTGATAGGTGGGGCTGTTGGTGGCCCTTGGGGGTGGGCATGACTGTGGCGGGCATGCCCATAGACCACCCTGTGCTTGGCGACTTGGGGACATACTCCAGGAGGAGCAGTCGTAAGGGTTCCTAGCATCACACACACACACACACACACACACAGCCCTCTCACTTCACTGGGAAGTGCACATAGGCACAGCAGCCTGTCCATACATACACGCCCGCATGTGTGCACGCGCACACAGAGACACACACACATATAGCCCTTTCATTGCCATTTCCCTGTGATGCTGAGGATCTGTGATTTCCATCATAAAGTGCCTAACGGTGACCCTGCCGATCGCCATAGAAAATATGAATGTACCTCCTAGAGAAACAGCAGCCCCAGCAGCCGACCCTGGACCTGCCTCCCCTTGGGCTCTCAGGATCGTCCCCCATAAGCCTCCTTGTTGGCGGCGGAAAGCCTCTTTTATAGCTTACAATAAAAGCCAAATGTCCATGCCCGCAGATTGTGCTTCCCCTTAGGAAGAGGAGTGAGGTGCCGAGGACTGTAAACTTAAACTCTGTGTTCCTTGTTCCATCAGGCCTGACGTGGCTGTGAGTGAATCGCTGGGCCTTGCTGCAGGCCAGGTCTTTTCATGTAAACGAAAGGCGAATCACCTCCTTCTAGAGTCTAACGCACAGAAAGTGCCAGGGTGCGAGAGAATTTTGTTGTTGTTTATTTGTTTTAATTTCAAGTGATACATATGCTAATACTTTAGAAAGTTAGGCTACACTGAAATTTTTGCCGAATATATTAATATTCTGTTATGTCTTGTTCTTGAAAGTGCTCATTGTGTGGGGGAAGCAGAAAGTCCCATAATGGCTGTTGAGGAAAGGCAAGGCAGGCCCAGGCCTTGAGGAGACTCCCTGAGGAGGGGATGTGGCTGGTGAGCCGACTGAAGTGCAGCGTGACCAGGGCAGTCACCACTACACTCTGAGCTGTCACTTGGTGTGACCCTGGCAGCTCCCCCAGGCACTGCCCGATCTACTCCACTTCCGCAGGCCCTGGGGAGACTGGGAAGGAAGTTACCCTGGAAGAACACCAACATTTGCCCATGGAATTCCTCCTCTTAAAACGGATTTCAGGGGGAAGAAAAAATAGCCAAACCTGTCCCACATACTGAGCCTCCCTTGTCCTCAGTCACATACATGGTCTCAGTTGCCTTTAGGAAGCTAGACATGTTAAAGAGAAAACTGCAGAGATGAAGGGCTGGTAGCTCCGGGTGTGTTAGTGAGCGCTCTGCTCTGTTACTGGCTACTGCCGTCATCTCTCCTGGTACCAAAGTCATAAGTCCAGCTGTACACTCATGCGGCCTCAAAGTTAAAAGAGAAAGTGAGCGTCAGGCTGAGTTGTGGCTCTGGGAGTTTAATGCTTCAAGCCTGACCGCCTGCCTTTGGCTCCCCAGCACACGGGTGAAAAGCCAGGAGGAGACGCGTGTGTGCGTTGTGCTGGGGTGGAGCATTATGGGAACTCCTGCTCAGTTTTGTTACCAACTAAAAACACCCCTAATTTATTTTTCTCTTTCCAGGTTTTCCCCTTGTTTGTCTTTTTGCTGGTGTTGGGGATTATTGCTAGTTGGGTTTGTTTGTTTGTTTGTGTTATTGATGGGGTGAACTTGAGCTTTCGGCGTAGCTCAGGCTGGCCTTAAACTGATGACAATTCTCTTGCTTCAACCTTCGGAGTACTTGAATTATAGGCATGAGCTACCTCATCTGGCTTCTCATTCTTATTTACTTACACATTAATTCACTCGTCAGTTTGTTCTTGAAACACAGTCTATATAGTCGAGGCTATTCTGGAGCCCTCTGTGTAGCTCAGGCTATCCCAAATTTGCTATCTTCCTAGTTAGCTTTCCAAGCCACTGTGCCTTGCTCCTTAAAATGTTTTTTAATGTTAAGTTGAAAAGAAAATGTTAACCCAATAAAACATTAACATTGTTTTTAATTGTTATAATTAATACACTCTCTACTCTTTTGTTTTTCTCATTCATTGAACTGTATCTGTTTTGTTCACAACCCTACCCTCCCTTCTAATAGACTGTAGCCTATGATGGGAATGACTCACACTGAGACAGGAGACTTACTGGTGCTGACTCAGACGCTGAGTGATTTCCGTGGGTTAGCTCATTTAAACTGTTAACCCTTTGGGGTACTTACCCCCAAAGAAACTACAGCCTAAGGACCAGACAAGCCTCTGCCTCAGACTCAGAGCTAGGAAGTGCTCAAAAGGGAATTTGAAATCAGACAGTCAGTCCCAGAGTCTGCCATCTTCATCTGCTAACATAGAATATCCCTACCAAAGGCGACCATACGTATTTGCTTATTGGGTGACCAAATGAAGGAAATGGGGAAGCAGCCATTAGTGAACAATATTATTGGTCTATTTGTATTAAAATATATAAGTGTGAGAGAGTGTCTAATACAACATTAGCAGTAACACAAAATGAATTGTAGTGAAGCCTTAGGGGGCAGTGAGAACTTGGTGTTAGAAGGGGATAAGGGGTGTGAGAACGGATGGTGGTCCTTCTGTCCCTTAGTCTGCAGCAGATCACACGGTGTGCCCCTGTGTGCGGGACTTGAAGCCCTGTACTTACATGTGCCATTGCTTAATAGGTCAGGTGCATTTAGGAAGTTCTTTAGCTGGCCGACACAGGGGAACGGGACTTGGGAGGAAAGAGATTGTGAGTGTACTTACCAAAATATTACCTATTCAACGCTAGAAGTTTTCAGTTTTAGGTTTTTGTTGTTTGACGTTTTCATTTTTGTTGTTGTTTGTTTTGTTTTTTGTTTTTGAGAGTCCTCAGGTTTGCCAGATGTAAAATTTTTAAGCGTGGTTATTGCATCACCTAGATTAGGCAGGGCCTCCCCCTCTTGGGATGAGCCGAGCATGTGGCTGTTGTCCCCTACTGCCCAACAAAAAGCCACCCTTGGCTGCGCTTCTTGGCTTCCCAGCTGAGCCTTGCAACATGTCCCCAGGTTTCTTTCTTTTTTTTTAAAATATTTATTTATTTATTTATTTATTTATTTATTTATTTATTATGTAGACAATATTCTGTCCGCGTGTATGCCTGCAGGCCAGAAGAGGGCACCAGACCCCATTACAGATGGTTGTGAGCCACCATGTGGTTGCTGGGGATTGAACTCAGGACCTTTGGAAGAGCAGGCAATGCTCTTAACACCTGAGCCATCTCTCCAGCCCCGGTCCCCAGGTTTCTAATCAAGACTCTTATCTGTTGCCGCATTGTTATTTCCTCTGCCAGGCTGAGCAGACGAAAGAAGAGCAGAAGCAAGACCTGAACGCAGAGAAACTGATGAGGCAGGCGTCCAAGGATGTGTGCCGGCTGCGAGAGCAGAGCCGGAAGGTGCCTCGGCAGGTGCAGTCCTTCAGGTAAGTGGCTTCAGGGCACCAGCTCCTCCTGTGGCATTCCCCTCCTGGGCCGTGATTGCGCAAGAATTCACTGCAGGACTAAGTGACCCTTGCCACTGTATCTGTCCCTGGTATGAATATAGTTGTACATGCACTCCATGCTGAGGTGACACCCACTGATCCTGTCTCCCCAGCAACCTCTGATTGTCATGAATTCATCTCATTGAGAAAGCTTCATCCAGGATACAGGATATAGAAAAATACACAAAAGCCATGGATCTTTGGGGGGATTTTGCTCACTCATTTTCTGGCCATTCCTTGGGTATCATTTTCTCTCTCTCTTCTTCCTTCTCTTTCTCTCTCCCTTCTTCCCTCCCTCTCTCTCTCCTCCCTCCCTCCCTCTCTCTCCCCCCACCCCGTCCCCTTAGGTACCATTCTCTCTCTCTCTCTCTCTCTCTCTCTCTCTCTCTCTCTCACACACACACACACACACACACACACACACACACACACACCTTGCGCTGTGCTGACCCCCACAGTACAGCAAGGGAGCACATGCTCCCTGCTCCTACCGGGGACTCCAGTCTGAGAGGACAGAGGTCCACAGCCCCTGCAGGGCCATGCAGAGCGGTTTCATGCCATGTGGATGAATCTGGATGATGGGGAGAACTGCAGTCTGTGTAGACCAGATATGCAGGCTCTAGCAGGTCAGCTCAAGGAGGGCACCGTTGGAGTTCACTGTGGAAGGATTCCACCAGGTCTTCAGGCTCTAGCTGTGGTGGCTGTGAGGCACGGCACAGACAGAGCTGTCCCAGGCGAGCTTGTCAGACTCCACAGGGCCTGAACACCACACATAAGGATTTCAGTTGTGGCTTTTAGTACTGAGGAAACCAGGTCTCTGAGTACAAAAGTCACAGTGGGGATCCTGCTGGGGCAGGCCTTGGAGGCACGGAGGAGAGACTGAGGCAGAGAGCAGGGGAGAAGAGAGTGTTGTCAGTGAGGACATCCTCCCATCCTGCTTTTGCATAGCCTGGGTGAACCATACTGTCGGCCATCCAGGTAATTCCACCCAGTGGACACTCAGAAATCAAGCTCTATAGGGGTTAAGGGTCACACGAGGAGCGTTACCACCCTCCTGGTAGAAACAGGCGACAGATCCCAGAAAGTGGGGGACATGACCAGGAGAGGACACCTGCTGGACACTGCAAAAGTGAAAGGAATGCTCAAGAGCTGGACGGAGCCCAGAGTGTGGTCCTGGGGCTGAAGGACCGGGAAGGACAGACTGTTGGACACTGAGACCAAAGAGAAAAGAGAATTAGAATGTCCCCAGATCATGTGACATGGGGGCCTCAGAGACCATGCCCGTTGGTCAAGTGTAGGAGGATCACAGGAAAAGCTTTGTCTACTTGTTTTATGTTCATCTTAGTTTTGACTTAGGTATCATATAGAGAAATCCTTACAGAGCTTCTAAGCTTGGGCCAGCAAGATGGTTCAATGGGCAAAGGTGCTTGCGACCAAGCCTGAGTTCAGTGCCTGCCTAGAAGCCACACGGTGGAAGGAGAGAGCCAGTTCCCATGAGTGTCCTCTGACCATATGTGTACTGTGACGTGCTCACCTCACAGACTCTCCCTCCCCTTCTCTCTCTCCTTCCCTCCTCTCTTTCTCTCTCTTCCCCTCTCTCCCTCGTATGTGTGCACACGTGTGCACACACACGAATAAATGTAAAAGACAGAGAAAGAAAACCAGCTGTCTTTTTAGGTCATGGAGAGGAGCTGGGAGAGAGGCTGTTTGGGAGCAGGGAAGGAGGGACTCATGGCGGACAGGGGAGCTTTGAAGGGCGGGAGCTGGCATCAGGCACATGAGACTTCAGAACGGGGGCATGTTGACAGGTTTCCTTCCCACCCAGTCCCAAAGAAACACACAGAGGCCTGCATTAATCATAAACTGGTTGGCCTATTAGCTCAGACTTTTTTATTAACTAACTCCTATATTAACCCATACTTCTTGTCTGTTAGCCACGTGGCTTAGTACTTTATCAGTGAGACCCTCTCATCTGATGACTGCAGACTGGGATAGAGCCCTTCCGGTCACCCCGCCTAGACTTCCTGCCTGGCTACTGGCCAATCAGCATTTTATTAAACCAATACAAGTGACAGATCTTTACAGGGTCCAAGACCATTGTCCCACAGTAGGGGCAGGAGGCTGAGGTGCTGAAGGTCCTATATGTACGGGTAAAGGACTGAGCTTTCCCGCCCACTGTGCCAGACAGCCACCGTGGCTGTTTGCCGGAAGTGCTACTGCTTGGTTTTGTAGCTATGGAGCGGTGGCAGGAGCCCTTCCTGCCCAGCATGCTGCCGCCTTCCACAGAAAGCAGCGCTACCAGCCATGGACTATCTTTAACATCTTCCCGTTGTTAAAGTCCAAAGTAAAGAATGCATAAGCAGGGGGCTGGAGAGATGGCTCAGAGGATAAGAGCACTGGCTGCTCTTCCAGAGGTCCTGAGTTCAATTCCCAGCAACCACATGGTGGCTCACAACCATCTGTAATGAGATCTGTCACCCTCTCTGGAGTGCAGGCATACATGAAGGCAGAATGTTGTATACATAATAAATAAATAAATCTCTTTTTTTTAAAAAAAAAAAAGTGCATAAACATTCCTGTTTCCCATAAGAAACCCCCCTGTCCTGGTATGATGGCACATGCCCAACAGGTCAAAGGCAGAGGCAGGCAGATCTCTATGAGTTCAGGGCAGCCAGGGCAGCTGGGGCTACACAGCTCTCTTGTGGGGGAGGGGGGATCAACCCGTTGATACCACAAATGAACATGTTAGACCAAGGAAGACACACCGTGTGGGGACTGTGACATCTGTGATAGCTGAGTGTGCTGCCTGCTGCCTAGGGCAATGAGAGATGAAGGATCAGCAGCAGGTGGGTACAGGGTGTTGCTCTGGCCAGTCAGCAAGGAAAGCAGGCGCTGTACCTGACTGTGGAGTTAAATCCTCACAGGGTTCAGAAGGGTCCCGTGGCCTCCCAGGAATCATGGCGACAGTCTCTGGCCTTTGTAACATCTTTACCTGTCTTTTAGGGAATTAGCCAATCTTAAAGGAAGCTGTATCATAAAATAACTCTGTCCAGTGTCCGCTTTTCACTCGTTTCTTTCTCCATCGGCACCGGTTCTTGTGTGTTGGGAGCGGCACCTTAGTCCTTCCTCCCAGCTGCCAAGCACGGCTATGTGTGTGAAAAGATAAGCTGCCATCACTGTTGGTCACCGTACGGTCCTGAAATCTTACTTTCCCTATCGTTCTCCTAACATGAATACCATCCTGTCAGTCTCCCCTTGGCACGCAGGGTGATTTCCTCCTAAGATCGTCAAGTGGGGGCTGGGAAGATGGCTCTGTGAATGACACTTGCCCTTTGGCATGGAGGCCTGAGATAGGTCCCCCTGCCACCCGCCTACGAAAGTGAGATGACCCGTAACTGCTACTGCAGGCGCTGAGACAGGAGGAGTCCTGGAGCTTGCTGGCTAGCCAATCTCACTGAATCAGCAAGCTCCAAGTTCAGTAAGAGAGTCTGTCTCAAACACAGAGGTGAAGGGCTGACAAGGTGGCTCAGCCGGTAAGGATACCTGTCTCCAAGGCAGGCCACACGAGTTTGATCCCTAGGACCTACATAATAGGAGATAACCAACCCCAGCCTCTACACTTGTGCTGTGGTGTGTGTGTGTGTGTGTGCACATGCACGCTCGCGCGCGCGCACACACACACGCACGCTCGCGCGCACACACACACACACACGCACGCTCGCGCGCACACACACACACACACACGCTCGCGCGCGCACACACACACACACGCACGCTCGCGCGCGCACACACACACACACACGCACGCTCGCGCGCACACACACACACATACGCACGCTCGCGCGCACACACACACGCACACACACCACGTAAATAAAAGTAATGAACAAATTAAAATAATAATAATGTGGAGAGCAATTGAGGAAAACATGAACAGTGCCTCGTGTGTCTCTTCCAGTGTCCCTGCCTTCCTTCACATGAGTTTGTTCTGACTTCCTGGTATCGCAAATTCTGTATGGACTCTGGGAATTTCAGTTCAGCATTTTGACCCTTTCGAAGCTTCTCCTACCTTAGAAATATCCGAACACAGCCCCACACCCCTGGTGGATTACAGATGCTCTTCAGCTGGGAACCCTCGGGGAACACAGTGGCTTAGTGTGTAGGGGACTTAGAGCCAGAGGGACTGAATGTGCCACCCACGTTTAAAGCATTGAAGATGCAGCCTGGGACGATGGCTCGGTGGGAAGAGGCACTTGTCACCACGCTTGGTGGTCTGAGTTCAACCCCCAGGGCCCACGGAGAAGGAGGGAACCGACTCCCACAAGTTGTAGGAGTTTCCTCTGACCTCACACCAACATCATGGCATTGCAACCTCTTACACAAACACCAAATAAAAATAGCTATAAACAATGATCAAAAATGAAGCCTCTCGTGATTTTAAGTGCAGTTTCTGGGATTGTGGAGACAGCCTTGGGGCTCTCAGAATTCCCAGGATGATGCTGAGTGGTTCTCTCCCTCTCTCCCTCTAGGGAGAAGATAGCCTACTTCACACGAGCGAAGATCAGCATTCCGTCCCTGCCGGCCGACGACGTGTGACCCCGTGGCTTGACGTTACTTCCCACCTGCTCTCTTTCCCAGGGAGGGTCGGAGACTGAACGTTTGCTGTTGATCGTTTTTATTTTTTGTTGGGGGGCGGGGCTTTTGATGCCTGTAACCTAACTGTCAACTCTTGAAGAACTTCAGTTTCCCACAGTTTCATCAGGTTAATCTGTAAACTCCTTTGAATGTAACTCTTACGTGCTTTGCGAAGGAAAAAGAATTCACAGGACGGAAACGGGGTGATCTGATCCCCACGTGTGGCGCAGTGTGTGTGCGCGACCCCTGGGTTTCACTGTGCAAAGTGGAACAGAGGCTGCAGGTGCCCAGCGTCTGCCTGCTGAGCCCACTGCGGGAGGCAGCCGTGCAGGAACCCGGGAAACTGCTCGCACCAAACCAGAGTCCTGAGCTAGAAAGCCACACTTCCCCACTGAAGGTGCTCGCAAGCAAGCATCGCCCTGAGTCCACCCGAAACAGGCGTGTCCCTTCCGTCAGCTGGGTCTGGCCCTCCTAAACCTGTCTGGAGAAAACAAAACATGTGAAATGCTGAATCCAAGAACATGAAAAGTCAAGGTATAGGCCTACTGTAGAGAGCTGTGGTTGGAACGAAAGGGAAGGGGGCACCAGTTCCCAAAAACACACTGAGGAAACGCAACTAATGCTTATGTAGCCTCTGCTTTTAACGCTATCTGAGCCTGCAGGGCTGTCTTTCTGGCCCTACGGATAAAGGCAATGCCACAGAGAAGCGGGAGGTGGCCCTGGGCTCTGGTGACAGTGTAGGCAGCGCGGAGGGGACACACCCACAGGTGAGGCCCAAGATGGCAGCGCATGGGGTGCTGCGGGGACATTAGGTGAAATCGGAGGACAGGGCGCATCTTAATGAGATCAAGCTGGCCGGAGAGAACAGTTAGCCCACAGGTTTCCGGGCTTACCAGGAACTCTTGCGCTGTCATCCGTAGGGGATTCTCAGTGATTCATAGCAGTCGGACGTGAAAACACAGGGTATGCTTGAGGGTGCTGAGAGCGTGGACTGGGTCACTTAAACATACATATTTGGGAAACAAACTTGAGATAGAAATTGGTCAAAGTGTCCTATTCTCCAGGTAGGTTTTAACTTACCAGAATAGGGCACTTCTTTTTAAAAAGAAGAACAAAAGAAAAAAAGAAAGGGAGAGGAAAGAAAAAGACTCAGCATAAAAGTGTTGAAATACATAGTTTTTAGGTAATTTAAACCATACTTACGTAGTCTGTCATACTGGAAGAAGCCGTGTTTTGGTGAGCCATCTTATATAGCAAGCTAAATTATTTTTATTTTTTTAATGCAAAATAATTTTATAGGAATTTTAAAAAGAAAGTTAGGCAAGAAAACTCTGTTTTAAAAAGAGTTATGTTCTGCTGGAATCCCCATTAGTAAGAAAATTTTTATTTTCCTGAATCTATGCAGATTTTAGAAAGTTCATTCTATCAGAATCAAAATGTATCCTCGGCCAGAACTTGAGTTGTCAGTTACCGCACTGAAAACTCCAGCCGTGTCTCCCCTAAGTGTCCCACAGCTTACTCCCAGCTTCTTAGAAGATGTAACTGGACGTGACAGCCCTTGGAGCAAAAAACAGCCTGGTGGCAGACTGAGCCCCGTTTGCCCTGCAGGTGACTGGAGGAAGCTGGAGTGCCCCCCTCCCCGCCCCGTCCAGGTCAACTGTGACCAGCAGAGGTTTATTTAATGCAGTGCTAAATAAAGGTCAGCTGTCTTCAGCAACAGGGTTTGGCCCACGGACTTGTCCGTAGAATTTTGTGTAGTTGTACCGTACGATTTTATTTTCATTTATTTATTTACGGTCTTATTTATGTTGTTTAATATATAGTTCGGTTCTGGCCATCTTAAATGTTGGGCTTACAAGAGGCTATATTGGAGTATTACAGCTTTATGATCTTCATCAGTTTTATTGCTAACTTTTTGTAATACACAAAGTCTCAGATGAGTACTAAAGAATAAAGTGTGTCTCAGGCTGGTAGCTCACAGTTGTGACTGGGGTGCTTTGGTTGGATTTTACAAAACATGCTCATTTCTAATATGACAGAGAAGCTCATTCCAGTAGAATCCTTTCCCCACATTCAAGTCAGCAATAGTGTTGTGGATTACACGCAGCTTGACATAGGCTGCCACATTTGTATTAACCCACGATTCAAAATCATCTTACTAACTCAGTCACAAAACCATATGGACAAATAAAAATTTTAATGTTATTAAAAATATTTTTAAAGGTAGAATTTATTCTGGACAGGATAAAAAGAATTTAATATTTAGCTCTCAAGTTTGGATTATCAGTATATTATTACAGCTCTATATATCAGACTTTTAAGTGTTACCGATACAAAAAGAGTATTACTTGCCAAATGAACAAAGTTTAGCTGAGTCTCTGTAGGATACAAATTAAATACTTTTTAAAAGTATTTTTTGCTATGAATTTATATTATATTAACTATGAGAAGCTCAGGACTGAACGAAATGTTTAATCAGGTTGAATCCTGCATATGCTTCTGTCCTCATCTGTGCTATGTGTAAAAGTGTTCAAATTCATCACACGGACTGTCTTCCCCTGCTGCACTTTCCATGTGTTTATGGAAACACATCCAGTACTTTTTTAAAAAAACAAGGATACATATTTCCTAATACTGTATTTTAGTGTTGCTTATTGTTCAGCTAATTTCCCTGATGGCACAACTACAAGAATCTACTTGAACCATGTACCAAGCAAATATAAAATGTTCCATGAAGAATTCCTCAGGCCAAAAATTTGTCATGAGCAGTTCTTGATTAGACTGTAGATCTCAAGGATAAATGAGATGGGATATTCTCACTCCTCCAGGGAAACAAGGGCTGATACGTCTGTGGGCCCCGGCTACACTATCAGTGCTGGCTGTGTTCTTCCAAAGGAGGCCGCCGTCCCAGGAGGCACTGTGCCCACCCACACACGCCAGTCCCGACCTCTGCCGCAGAGCCAAAGCAGGCAGGACATTCTACCCCACCACACAGGGACAGAAGGAGGTGCACTTTGGTGTGGCAAATTCTACCTGAGTTCCCAGAATCCATGAGAACTGCTCTGTTCAGAGGCAGGCATGGATGTTTCTGATGTGGAAAGAACTCTCTAGAGAGAGGTCTCTGAAAAGGAGGCGTTCCATTGAGTCCTTTAAGGACCAAGCAAGTGTTTTGTTTTTGTTGTTGCTTTTACTGTCCTCGGTTGTCATGTATTTTAAATAGGTATCCACTGAGATCTTAGTTTCATACGTTACTTTAGATACCCGAAAGTACATGGTCAACATCACGTCTGTTTCCCACATGACTCCTCTCAATGTGAAGGATCCTTTCAGAGCCACAAAAGCGCTCATAATGATGTTTAGTTTACTCATTCCCTGTGTGTGTGCAATCAGAGCCTATTTTAAAGGTTGACAAAGTTCTCAAGCTCACTAATGACATTAAAAGGTCCTGATTCATCTGGCTCCAAAGAGAAAATACGCAATTGTAGAAAGAAATTGTATTTGATAAAGTTAATAGTCACAGAAAGGAAGTACGCATTTCAGAAACTCAAAATCACACTGAGTAGGGGTGATTTTAGCAGGAGATCCTACCAAGTCCGGCTGGAGCGAGCGCCTGCTGAAGAGCAGAAAGGCCACACTGATCCCTCTGGCTTAGATTTCTGGGCTGGCGTGTCTCAGCTCCAGCTGCTGACAGTGGTCTTGCAATCCTGCCACTGCATAGCGACCCGAGGCGGGGGCAGCCGGGCTCCAGCAGGCTGCACAGTGGAGCAGGCACCCTCCGAGCACCAGGCAGAAGCCAGCAAACCACCCGAGGAAAAGGGCCTCCCCAAACTCCCACCTGGGCATAATCTCAGGCAGGGTCTCATCCCAGAACTCCTGAACCGTCACGTGGGCCACCCAGGAGACAGGAACCAGGACCATCATGCCCGAAGTCCAGAGCAGGAGCCCTCCCAGGATGAGCAGCCGCCTCTTCAGACCCTTCTGGCTCTCTCCGAGCCTCCAGCAGTCCAGGCCGCAGCCAGAGCCCAGCAGTCCCAGCAGCCCCAGCCCATTCGACAGAGACATCAGGATCCTGGAGATCTGGAGTTCAGCTGGCAAGGCCAGGAAGGAGTCAAAGTCCTTGCATTCCCTCCCCACTTCCTCCTGGATGACACAGGTTTTCCAGAGCCCCATGGTCCAGTTTTCCATCTCATTCAGGTCCAGGTTGAGGTTCTTCCAGTGGGGCAAGTAGTTTGTAAGGCAGGCTAAAACCCATCCCAGCAGGGCTAGCACAAGTGCAGCCGACTGCGTGGCTTTCCGGAAAACCAAGCCCATCAGAACGTCCCACGAGCCTGAGCCAGCCCGACTCCTGCCCCGCGCTTGCTGTAAAAAAGTGTGACACTTGGCTCTTGCAGAGCTTAGACATAGTTTTGCATTGTGTGTATAGGAGGACGCTTGCCAGGTCTACTATTGTTCGAGTCCATGCTGAAAAGATTTCAGAAGAGGAAGGGGAAACGCTGCTATGAACCAGTAATACTAAGGTGTGGCCTGGGGCCGTGTTTGTGTCCTGTGGGCTGAAGTTTGTGCAGAGCACTTTGTCAGGGAGCCTCTGAGGTCAAGTTGTGCTAATCCTTTCATTGTGAAGGTTTACCTGACTTTCACATTCCCAGCGCTCCTAACAAGTCGGAGAATTAAGTCTAAATGTAAAAAACGCTTAATTGAAGGTTCGGGTTCAACTCCTCCTGCTTTGAACTGTGCTAATTACACCTGTCAGATTTTCATCTGTTAGGGTTTCTGTGCATGTGTTATGATAATACTGGGTGTTACCGTCTTTGCAAAAAAAAAAAAAAAGAGGTTCAGAGAGAAGTATTTCTTAACCAAATAAATCAATCTTATCAGGAATCCCTCTAGACTTTAAATCAGGCCTGTTTTGAAAATTCTTTGGCTACACACAGTGCAGAACACAGGAAACAACGCTGCACCGAATGCCGGCTTCCACTCATCTGCCCGCCTTTGTGTTAAGTCACATGCACGAGCCATAAATAGCTGGCGGCCTTTGAGAATTTGGAGGGATTTTCTTCTTTTTGTTTTTTTGCTTCTTCTTTGCTGAAATTAACTTTTTAAGCTGTAGGGAAGAGAAGCAACAGGGCCTTTGGGTCAAAGTCAACATGGCTGCTCCCCATTTCACCCTATCTCCCCACGTCTGTCATCTGAAACGGAACACACAAGTTTTCATTCTGACAAATGAACTGAGAGAATCTAGATAGCAAGAAAAAAAATCCTGTTGGAAATGTTTTTTTTTTTTTCCTTTTTAAACTCGGAGCTTTTGAATAAAGAGATGAGGACTGAGATTGGCTACCACGTAAAAATAGTAAAAGCCCAGTGTTCTGGGGGTCCAACGAAACATCCGGGAACTCCAGCTTCCTAAAGTCCTCAGAGTTCAGCAGGCTCCTGGGAACATCTAAGCAAGAGTAGAATCACCGTGGAGGTGGCATTTGGCGACTGACTTAGCCCATGGCTCTGCTAATAAACAGGACTGCGGAATGTTAGTCCTTTCTTTAGGAAGGAAAAAGAAATTGTGCTTTCCATGTGCAAACAGCAACACAGCTTACCCACAAACGAATACATCCTAGCACTGGACGTCTGACTGTATCGGGCACACACTGGAAAGCACACACTGCTTTAAATAACCAAATCAATGACATTTTTCCTCCACACATAGCTACACAATGTTTGTCATCATGATCTCCTTATAGATAAACTTCCTTTCATTCTTCAGACTCGAGAGGCAAACCTCTAGTATAGTCCAAAAAAGAAAAGTTAGTGAATTTATTTAAAAAAAAAAAGTGAGCAGAACAACTAAGTTACATAACAGAGACATTTTTGTCATCGGTGACAAAGGACATGGCTAGGCCCCGCTGGTGGCTCACACTTGAGGCTGTGCAGTTCCGTTTTCCAGGTATGAACCGTGGTCTTGCAATCCTGCCACTGCATAGTGACCCGAGGCGGGGGCAGCCGGGCTCCAGCAGGCTGCACAGTGGAGCAGGCACCCTCCGAGCACCAGGCAGAAGCCAGCAAACCACCCGAGGAAAAGGGCCTCCCCAAACTCCCACCTGGGCATAATCTCAGGCAGGGTCTCATCCCAGAACTCCTGAACCGTCACGTGGGCCACCCAGGAGACAGGAACCAGGACCATCACGCCTGAAGTCCAGAGCAGGAGCCCTCCCAGGATGAGCAGCCGCCTCTTCAGACCCTTCTGGCTCTCTCCGAGCCTCCAGCAGTCCAGGCCGCAGCCAGAGCCCAGCAGTCCCAGCAGCCCCAGCCCATTCGACAGAGACATCAGGATCCTGGAGATCTGGAGTTCAGCTGGCAAGGCCAGGAAGGAGTCAAAGTCCTTGCATTCCCTCCCTACTTCCTCCTGGATGACACAGGTTTTCCAGAGCCCCATGGTCCAGTTTTCCATCTCGTTCAGGTCCAGGTTGAGGTTCTTCCAGTGGGGCAGATACGTTGTAATAATGGCTAGGACCCATCCTAGTAGTGCGAGCAGAAGCCCTACAGATTGCACGGCCGTTCTGAAGATGAAAGCCATTGGGGCAAATGGTGCAGCTCGGCCACTCTATAGAATCTGCTGCCCTTGGTGGTTGGCAGTGGTGTGATGCTCTTGATCCTCTGCCACCCGGAATGTAAGCTTTGGTCGTTCACTCTCTGGGCGCCCTGAAATGCGTTTCTGTTCCTCTTGAATCTAGTGTTTCATGTAAAGGGTAAAGGAATCTGTTAAAGACTATGAGTTAGGCTTTCTGATAAGGATTTGATCTGCTACTTTCCAATTTGCTTGGTAAAATTCTATCCCCAACGCTTGACGGGTATAAGTCTGAAAATGAACAAAGAGGCCTCTGTGACCCCTCACCCTAACGTACAACGGAAATCTTTGTGCTTCAGTATGGATTAATTAGATTTTAAGTGGTGATAAAGGGTCAGCTCTTTCTGCAACAGGACCTCATTGTAGCGGCTGCAGCTGAGATTTCAGGGATGCAGCAAAACAAGGCCTTGTAAAGAAAGGTAGACTGTTTTCCTATAATCTATTCTCCTCAGCGTTCCTTAACCTACACAGGCCCGTGTTCCTGAGTGTCCCGGCGATTCCCTCAGGACTTGGCAGGAAGATTTCCTCGGATTCCTTTGAAAGTCAGAGCCTGGTTCACCACATTAATTAAAATGAAAAGGACCTGGGTTGATGCCCAGAGAAACTCAGGGAGGAAAGGGGCATTATGGGAAACTCCAGCTCTTCTTTACTCTTTGGTCCATCCTCGTCCGTCCGTTAGGCGCTGGGTAAAGTCTGTTGTCTCCCGGCGCTCTTTATCGCCCAGAGCTGAGCAGCGTCCCTTCCTCTTTCAATTGCAAAGGCAGAGGAGCAGAAGTCTGCTATCAGAATGATAGCCAAGACGGGGCAGACCTTTGAGGCTTTATCTCGTTGTTTTGGTTCAGGCCACACCTTGCAAGCATACCTCAGGCAAGCATGACCCCTCAAAGAACACTGGGTCCCAGGCCAGCACAAAAGGCCGCATGCCCCAGATTCCCGGCGCTGTTGCACGTCTGGCAGGGCCCAGCCCCTCTCTCAGAGCCGCGGCCTGAATGAGTGTAACTCAGAGAAGGAAGACCACTGTGCTTCGTGGAGCATAAAGCAAGGCCAGTTCAGAACCAGAGAAAGCCATTCATGACACAGACACAGGCTCCGAAACCCCGGAGCCTTAGAGTTTGAGGGAATGCTATTCTATTTTTTTTTTCTTTTTTTGCATTCAGCTAATTTTTTAAGGCCACCAGACTGAAGGTGTAGCTCAATGGCAGAGTCCTTTATTAAAAGCAGAGGGCACTGGGTTTCATTTCCAGCACTTCAAAGTTAGGTTTGCCAACACAGGACTTTTTTTTTCTTCTTTTTCACTGCTAAGCTCAGTCCCAGGGCAAAACATACACTAGGCAAGCACGCTACCATTAAGTTAGCCCAACCACTAGTTACCTTCTCTGTGCAGATTTTCAGAAACCCTTAGACTAGGTCGGCGTCCTCAGTATGATGAAGCAAGCCCTGAGTTTGGACACAGAGACACATGATCCAGAAAGGGCTGGCACTGGGCCTCGGGCCTGTCAAGCGATGGATGAGATGGAGCTCAAACTTCCTTTGCGGAAACTGGCAGGTTGGTGGCGGTCCTAGCAGCAACCACTGATGGGGAGAATATCACATGGAAACATCCTTTCTAAAAGCATAGTGAGAACAGGCCGTTTTGTGAGATAGTGAATTCTCTGTCCCAGATGGGTTTTACACCAAGGATGCCCTGCCTCAGGAAGGCTCCGCTAGGAGGTCAGCTGGACCTGTATGGTCTCTCTGCACCTTCCACACTCACTTCTTACAGCTTTGAAAGCAGTGTTTGATGAGTGTGATCTGGCCTAGAATTAAGTCCCTAAAAGGCAACCAAGAAGAGCCGCACCGTCCCACCATGGCCCAGTGGGATCCTCATTTGAGTGGGAAAAGATCCTTGGCAAACAACTAAATCAGGGGCCAGAGAAAATGAAGAGTTTTGAAGCAGGTCACGTGGCTCAGTGGGGAAAGGCCCCTGCTCCCAGGTCCCACATGGTGGAAGGAGAGAACCAACTCCCGGAAGTCATCCTCTGTTCACCACAAGTACACAGTGGTGTGTACACACATGCACACACATTTAATATATATGCAGTGGTGGGTCCACTCCACACACATGCACACACATGCAAATAAACAAATACATTTTTATTGTTTCACATTTATTTTATCTTATTTTTATGCATATGGGTGTTTTGCCTACGTGTGTGTCTGTGCACCACATATGTGAGGCCAGAAGAAGGTGTTGGATCCCTTGGAGTTGGAGTTGCAGATGGTTGTGAGCCACCATGAGGGTATTGGGAGATCAAACCTGGGTCCTGGGTCCTCTAGAAGAACAGTCACTGAACCTTCTCTCCAGGTCCTAAAAAAATAAATGAAATAAAATAAAAATTAAGAGCTGGGGCCTTAAAGGCAGATACCTGAACCACAAGGCAGAAAAGTTTGCTCCAGAAAGTAACCAGCTAGTAGATGGAAACCCCAGATACAGATCTAGGAGGCCCCCACCTCTAGAGTATGTATGGAGGGGACACGCAGGCAGGGGACAGATGTTTTTACCCACCCACTATTCTGTGTGTGTTCATTCTGTCTCAGGGGAGAGACAGACAGAGACAGAGAATGACAGAGACAGAGATAGAGAGACAGACCCAGAGACAGAGAGACAGACCCAGAGACAGAGAGACAGACAGAGACAGAGACAGAGAACGACAAACCCAGAGACACAGGAGACACAAAGGTCATGAAGTCAACTTGCACTTAAAGAGAACCTGAGCCCCCATCCCAGTAGACCAGGGCCTGTCACAGGTTTAGCACTGAGAATCACAGATCAGGACAAAGCATTTGGTCCAGGGCATAGATAAACACACTGTAGCAAACCATCCCAACACATTCGTATTTCAGACAATCGTCTCTGTGTATTTTGTGATTCTGACATTTGCGTGACACTTGAAGACACAAAGGTGCTGAAAGAGGCTGGGCATGGTGGCACACACCTTTGATCCCATGGCTTGCTAGACAGATCCAGGCTGAGATCAGTGAGTCCCAGGACAGCCTGGTCTATGCAGTGAATTCCAGATCAGTCAAGGCTACATAACATCTCAGAAAAAAAGAAAGTTGAAAGATTGTGATGCTCATGCCTGACATAGGTCAGTATGTTAAAATATAAGAAAATGCTAGGGGCAAGTCTGAAAGTGTGAGGGAGCATTTGGTGGAGCAGCCGGCAATCCCAGCACTGCTAAGGCAGAAGGAGAAGGAGCCAGTTTGGGTCCACATAGTAAGTGCCTGGCAAAAAAAAAAAAAAAAGAGGAAAAATTATTTTGACTTAGGACTTAGTTCTAATCTCTTGGCCCATTACTCTGGGGCCTGCAGTGAAGCAGCGCCTTGTAGTGAGAGCAGCTGGAACTCAGAAGAGCAAGGCTGCCCTGGAAACGAGAGGCTGCAGTGGGCAGCAGAGTGTTTAACACCAAGTGCCAGGATTTCAATACGAAGATAATAAAGATAATTAAGAACCTGGGAAGGCTATAAGCAAGCATGTGGTGTGATCACATCTGCATTTTATAAATCAATTGATGGATCCCAGAGCCCCTCTTTGTATCACCTGAGATCCAAAAGCCACACTCAAACTGTCTACAGACAAACAGTGGCCAGACTGATGCTCAAAGAGCCTGGGGGGAGGGGGGCGGCTCTGTGCTCTCATTCCTACAACCGGCAGCAGAGGTCCTTCTGCGGGCACAGGGGCACTGAGAGAGCAAGACTACAGAGCCATGCGGCTGCAGCACAAGACAGCATCGGGGAGCTGTAGATCCTCAGGTCAAAGGGAAGATGGAACCTGCTGTTGCCAGAATAATCTTTTAAAAAAGAAATCTCTCCATGGTAGGTGAAATGCCTCAGCGAGTAAAGGCACTTGCCATGAAGCCTGACAACCTGAGTTCGAGCCTCAGAACCCATATGGGAGAAGGAGAGATTGACTCTGCAAGTTGTTCTCTGGCCGCTACACACATGCTGTGGTATGTTCACACACATATACATACATGTAGAGACAGACAAGCAGACAGATGATAGATAAGTAGGTAAATAAACAGATGATAGATAGATAGATAGATAGATAGATAGATAGATAGATAGATGATAGATAGACAGATGATAAGTAGGTAAATTAAACAGATTATAGATAGGTAGACAGATGATAGATAGATAGGTAAAAATAGATTATAGATAGATAGATAGATAGATAGATAGATAGATAGATAGACAGATAGATAATTGATAAGATGAGAGATATACATACATACATAGATAGGTAGGGAGATGATATGCAGGTAGGTAGATAAATAGATTATAGGTAAGTAGGTAGATAAACAGGCAGGTGGACAGATATAAAAATGAAAAACAATTAAAATAATCCCTCCAGCTCTAGAGACCAAGCCTACCATTCCATGGTGTGTACTCCAGTACTAGCCCAGGATACAGGTCACATGTGAGTCACAAGATAAAGCCTCTGTCACAGTTGGAGACCTAGCAATAAGGATGTCCACAGAGGAGCCAGCTATGGGAAAGGCCATTTTCCGCCTCTGTGGCCAGCACCTTGGGTGTGCACACTCACCGCAGGGTCTGCCCTTTCTCCCAGTCACTTTGACATGTCAGAAAAGACAAAGGAATTCTTCCTGCCAAACACAACCCCATTTGATCAAAGAAAACCTGTAGTTCCAGAGCCTGAAGCAGAACACCTGATCCCAGACATTCCAGGCCAGCCTAGTTCAGACAGCAATACCCTGTCAACAAAAAGGAAAAGGAAAAGAAAAGCTATAGTTTATTCTGTTTTTTAATATATTCGAATCCTAGTAAACAGCCATTCTCGGCTCATTCAAAGGGTCTAGGCTCCTCGGTACCCTCTACCCTACAGTACCCACGCCTTGTGTTTTATCAAAATGTCTATGCAGTGGATGGATTTGATGGCTCCCATGGAT